TGCAAATAGTGTATGTGTGAAACTTTGAACTCTGAAAACTGTTATTTTGAAGAAGCTATCTTTCACCAGAAGTAAGGTATGGCCATACTCATTCATCCTCTACTAGACCTTCGAATCAGAACTTCATGTGTGGTAAAAGTAACTTAATTTGAACTAAATTAAAACCAAAAGTCAACAAGATGTTTTTGTAAACCTAATTAAATTCATTATCCTTTCATATACAGTCCATTTTATTGAAAAAGCCTTCATAGGAATACGAAACATAAAGAATAATAGGGTTTCCTTCTTACTAATCTGTTCGATGTTGAGAGCACGCCACTGGTCTCCCTGTGGATTCTGGTCTCCCATCCCCTGCCTGACGTAGATCTGACCTCCGTCTGTCAGCAGCCAGAGAGCATGAGGAGCTGCTGTCACTGCCATCACTTCATCTGGGCTACATGGAACATTCACCACCTGCAAGGCGAAACTGGAGAGTCAGCTTGAGAAGGAGATGGAATAAGAGCCCACAAATTAATAAGGAGCGGAAATAAGGAAGGACCATCAGTTAGACAATGAGACAAAATAAAGAAAAACTTGACAAGGAAACGAAATGAAGGTCAACAGATTAATAAGGAGACAAAATAAGGGTCATCAGCTTAACAAATAATCAAGCTGACAGAGCCAAGTGATTGAAAATGAAATGGAATTAGGACCAACAGCTTGACAAGTAAAACATAAGAAACCCAAAAATATGCTTCTAAGCCTTATAGTGTGTTTCCCAGCATTATTATTACTATTAATCCATCCCTCTAAACAAAGTACCTTTAAAATTTAATCCAAGCTTTACTTGGGTGGTGTAGTTTATTTACCAACCTTGTTTTATGGATTTATTAATATTTTATTGCAATATTTCAGGACATCATTTTGGGAATATGCAGTTGCAGATTGTGTAAAGATTATGCAATCAAAAATGCATGGTCTCATCATGATTGCAAGGGTAATGTGTTTGTGCATGTTTGAGATTCTGGAATCGGTATTGAATCCAACGTAGGCCTAACAACGTATAAAAATAATGTATGCCAATATCTGATTGTAAACGAAGCTTACTGACATTAAGGTTTTCAGAGTTGGGCCTCAAATGGAAGAGTTCATTGCCTGTAGACAGCAACCACAGAGATCCCTTCTCCTCAAACACTCCTTCAGCTGTGATTTGCCTCCATCTCAGTGGGGCTGTCATGTTCCTTATAGAAACTTCTGTCCATCGGTGGCCTAGGTAATGGAACATCAACATAATATAGCAAAAAAAAAAAACTGTTAAACAAAGTAGGGCAGTGGATCTTGGATAACTGGAATCTGGAATACTGATGAGGGACCAGCACAAAATTTTAACCATCAAAAATTTGTTATAACTAGTTTGGTAATAAATAATAGACTTGGAAATTGAACAGGAACTGAGGTCACACTTTAGATTACTCAACTTACTGTTAAAATGTTTGGAAAATTTAACAATTTATTATACCTCTGCAAATTTTTCAGCACGACTAAAGAGTTTTTAGGTTGTCACATTTTTTACACACTATGTTGGATACACTAGTACTGACGATAACAAAAAATTTGAACCATCCAAAATTATATTTGAACTGGCTGGTTCCAGTTTCAAACCTTAAAAAAGCAAATGATTTTTCAGACAAGGTTCATGTCATGTCCCAAGAATTTCAAACTAGAGGAATTATTCTACTGTGCAGGTAAAGATGGTGTATGAATCACTAAAAATTGGCTCATTGGGCTATGAAAACAAAATTTGTTGAATGATGATAAGCATTTTCATTTTGTTAATAAACATATCTTCTTCTTGTTTATATATATATTATTATATATTATATATATATATTGTGTTATATATGCCTAATAAGGACTTGAATTTTTGAGAAAACTGTAAGCCGCACACCTATTAACCGCATACTTGAATGAAAGGTCTTGATATGAATATTCCCCGAAGAATATCAGTTTTTCGATGAGGGCACGATCTTCAATCAAAGGGCTGTATTTAATCATATTTAAAAACTTGACGATGCATCAGCAGTTAGATTTGTCAAATCCAAATCAAATCAAATCCACTTTATTGTCACATAAACATTTGTACATAGCAAAGCTATTAAACTGGTGACATTGTCAATTCAATATAAACCTAAAAATACAATTAAGTTACAGAACATTTTTGTCTGACTCTAAAACAACAATTACATATAACAATGCTGCTTAATTTTGTAAAAAGTCACTTACAGAGTAAAATACTTGGTTTAAAAGATAACTTTTTAGAGTATACTTAAAACTCTTTAAGCGGATTTGGCGGATTTGTTTTTATTTATAGTTTTTTTCTTTAATTTTCCCTGAGTTAATCTTTTTAATCTCATGATAGATGTTTACATTACAATAAAGTCGTTAGTTTAGATTCCATCACACAGTTTAATGCAAATACAAAGGATTTTCATTAAAATAAGCAATAAGTACAATTGATATTTGCCTGTAAAATTTCATAATTTGTATCACAAATATGAGTATAACCGTTTTTAACAGTAGATTTAGAGACCCATATTATTCTCTTTTAAAAGTACTCGTACCCTGTTGCAAAGCATGTGCAGAACAACTAACTAGAGTTAATTAATACTCTAAACCTTGCCATGCATTCCCCACTGTAAGAGTTAAAGTTACCTTTGATGGCTGTTGAGTTGACGTAGACATAAGGAGACATTCTGTTTGTGATCCAAACAGAGTTATTATTGCTACTGATCTGACACAGGGAACTGTTCTCAAACATGTAATTCCTTATGAGGACCTGCAAAAACAAACAATTCATTAGGGACAATCATTTTAGTAAACCAAATCTCCTTGAGTAAAACCGTGTCAAAACTTGTAAAATTCACTGATGTTTCCTACTTCCTATTTCAGATGTGACTAGGACTACTGAATTAAATGCAACCAATGAGTTGTTCTTTCACCTGCCACCAGACACATTTGTCCTCCGTGTAGTTGTCACTGTAGTAGACAGAGTTGCTACGGTCCACCAGCCAGCCGAGGTTGTAGGGTCCCAGCGCTATATCTGCCACTTGAACGTGTCCGGGTGTGTCCACTCTCTGCCAATGAGACCCCTCGGGACAGTCGGGAGTCACACCCGCACGCCACAACACCCAGTGATCAGCGGTCAACACCCAGACCATCTGTGGGGAACATTATTCATGGTTATCCACCGCCATGATGACAATCGCCACCATCATTATTTCCTTACAATCGTAGTGAAATAGTAATCTTTCTATTGTGATTTTATTTCTGGCCTGAACTGATTTCTTAAACTTTTGAGATATCAGGGATCCAAAGACCCAGAACTTCTATCAATGTCTTGGTTAGTAACAAGACCAAAGTTTGGACGATTTAAAAAAGTCATCCAGTACCAACCTCTTTAGAGCAGCATATACTGGTGACTAGTGATGGACAAGGGACTAGACTTCCGTCTCGGTATGGTGTAACACTGCTAAGCTCTGTCTGAAGGTAGACTCGTCCACTAGACACGTACCAGGCGACGTCACTGCCTAGTGCTACACTCTCCACCCCCCTGGCTGCAATCTCCCAGTTACCACCAGCTGTACCTATGAAACAATAAAGCTTTAACGTGCAGTTATGTGGTAACATCGAGTCTTACCACTAGACGCTTGTAGTATTGAATAAACGCCAAATAATTGTTGAGATGACTGTACAAAATAACAAAAGGGATGGTGGGAGGAGAGTGCAAGCCCATACTGCTTGCCACTCTTATTGACATGATCTATCAAATAATTCATCACACTGTAATCTATGTTGGTTTTTCTCCTTTCGTTATATATCACTTCTCATCAGATGGTTTTGGATAAAATATGCTATAGTTGATCAAGGAAATTAAAATATGATTGTTACCATTATTATCAGAATCTAGTAGAGCAGCTGCAACATCAAAGTCTAGCTTCCACACAAGCTGCCCTTCTGGTGAAAGCAGTACGTCCATGGCTCGGTAACCAAGCCTAAACAATGAGATACACTTAAAAGCCTTTGATCCATTTTTAATATTTTTATGATTTTATTTTGTTGAAACTCTTTTTTAAATGTTGTGACCATATTTACAACTGAAGAAAGTTTAAGTTTAACACTCCCCTCACCCCCAAAACTGACACTCAACATGGTGTAACTTTTTACTAAACATTATTTGGACTAAACTAGACAAATTGAAGTCAAAAGTGGACACTCCTTTGGATGTTGAGGTTTGGGTCTAATTACACAATAATTTTAGTGGGAGAGAAAGTTCAACAAGCAGCCAGGAAGTGTTTAAAGTATAGAATTTTGGGTTTCTTGAGCCAGATTGGACTCTTGCCCTTTCAGGAAAGCCTACTATCCTAGCAATAATCCTTCAGTAAAACGTTGGTTAAGAATTATCAGTACAAGCTCTACTACTGAATCCAACATAACCTACGCTAACAATAAAACGTAAGAAACATGACATAGTGAGTATAGCCATAGTGATTATTAAAGCTTTGCAAGTTCAAGTTACCTAGACCAGCGGGCAGGGGAGGAGGGTGGTACAGTAGTGGAGTGTAGTGTCCTGCTCGGCCCACTCATCACTACGTAGTCTCTACACACACTCACATATTGAGCTACCTCAGGAGTGGTCACCTGACACCAGCCATCGTTACAATCCAATGTCAATGTGTCGTCTGCAACATATTAGCCGTTTGTGTACTTCAGTTTACCTGAAGTGTTAAATCTTGCTACACTTGATTGAGTAAATCTTTTAAGCCTCGTTCTCAAGACATTTTCGAGTCTCCAATCTGCCGCTATTCGAGTATCATGTAGGAATAGCTCATTTAATTAGTTTTTTTTTAGTGGCTACAGTTGGTAACTCTGAACATCACTCCAGTTTTTAACTTTGACTTTCTCTTCAGCCCTCTCTCTAAAGAGTGCCAACATCAGAACGAAACATTAGTGCTATGTGTTATGCTATTGGGTATCTATCTAACTATTTAGCCTTTGGACTTTTCCTTAGAACAGATACATTGGTTATTGTTCAATAATCAGTACCCAATCAGAATTATATTCTTTATCTAGATTGAAACCATTATGTGAAAACAAACTCTAAAAGTTATTTATTTTTCACATATCCACTCAAGTATATCTTTTGGGATTTCACTTTATGGTGCAAAACTAGTGATTACAATTTGAATTCTATTCTAAAAAAGCAAAAGAAAGCTATTAAAATTATCTGCAATTTAGATTCTGAAACTTTGGTTAATAAAGAACATTTTAAATCAGAAAATATAATGACAATTTATGGAATGTACGTTTTTTAAACAATTTTATCGGTAAAGGACAGCCTTTATAATTTGGAACGAGTTGGGGATAGTCATAATAATTTCACCAGAAATCGGGAAAACCTTGCAATTGGCCATCATAGTCTGAAAATTTTTAAGAAAGAATCCTTGTATGCGGGATCAAAACTTTAAAAAACTTCCCAATCAAAGTTGAATCAGACTTCCAAAACAATATTTAAAATTAAATTTAAAAAATTTCTCATCAGCAAGGCTATTTATTCTTTTGAAGAGTTGAATAGTCTTTGAATGTTAAAAAATAAAAATAAATTTAACATAATGTATTTTTTGTTAACAATTGTATTAATATTGTTTGGCTTTTCCGTTGTGTTATTATAAAAAAACTTAGGTTTGTGAATTTTTTGTTGTTATGTAAGAAATGTATTTAATTTAACTATTACATGCAACTGTTGACTTGACACCATTCAATGTATTTCTATGTACAAGAGATAAATAAAATAGTTTTGAATTGAATTGAATACCCAAAAACTAAGTCACAAGCAGCTTCCAATCTAACCGAGTAATACTAGGATAGCCAGTCAATACTGGTTTGTAATCGGCCGCCACATCCTGCAGTCACCGCTAGATTTTGCTGCTGCAGGGTATTATCATATCACTACAGACAAATAGTCGATGGTGAAGGCATTTCATACTTTAAGGATTAAAAAATGTGATAAATAACAAAATAAGCGTACCGCTGGTGACAGTGCCGCACACGTCGTCAGCCAGAGGGTGGTCTATGCTGTCTTGTCTGAGCACCGTATACTGTGGCACTGTGTTATTGCCAGCCTCTAGGGAAGGTATGGCACTACTGCTGCCAGAGGGAGGGCCGTAGTTCAGAGTCTCCTCTATGTGTTTTACTCCAGACAACAGCTCCGGCAGACAGTCTTTGTTGATACCCTCAGTCTCGTTGTTCTCTGAAATGAAAAGGTACTTTTTAATTTTAGATTAAAGATTGCATAAAGTTGAAAGTTTGGTCCGTGTACCTGCATTAATGCAATCTAACACCAAAGTTTTACATAATACACAACCATTACCCAATCGTAAAATTAATGTATTTTTTGTGCCAATGTGTATTCTTTCCCATTGGGGCAAGATTGCTAATCCAACAAAAATCTTAATTTCTTACAGGTTATTTTAATCATGTAGCTGGTATCTTGGTTTACACAACTGATCAATGCTAATGTATTTTATTAAATTAAAGTTCTTTTCTACACAATTTGCTTTACATGGGTCAACTTTTATAATGGCAAACTTATTTGGTGTTAAATGTATTCTTCCAATTCTTGCCAAATAAAAAATTTTCTTGTAATTGAAAAATAAAAAAAAAATTGAATTTGAGTCCTCTTGGGGCTTGACACAAAAAACACCAATGCATGCTAAACATTAAAATTACATTAGTTGAAAGTTTTAGTTTTTCTAGAGAAATCCTTCAACCCCAAGCTCTTACGCTCTGTGTAACAACATTAATCTTAAAGTCAATCAATAAACCTTCTTTTTCAAAGTGTTTTTCAGCAGCCAATAGGACTTCTTCTAAATTAAATGCTTTGGCAACAAGGATTTCTTTGTCGTGGACGTCCTTCATGATAGAATCCGGACTCCTAAGATCAGGCAGAATGTCGGGAGGGATGGCGGCTGAGAGGCGAGTTGAACTTGACACCAGATCCAACGACAAACGGGGCTGCAAAATAACGGTAACGCCTTGGTGTTAATATGGAACTAAATTACAGTTTTGTCTTATCTGCTTCCTAATCATATTTAGAAGTAAAAAGAAGTTTAAAAAAGTGGAAATCTTTGAATGGTTGTAATTATTTGACTAGGTTGTCCAGTTGAAGTCCGGTTTTGTGGCATTGTTTTTAATTTAAAAAGACCTTAAATCTGATGTATATATCAACCTATGCTTACATTAAAGATTTTCAACTTACTTCCTATGGGCCGTCTCCCATAGGAGGCATCCGATCACAATGTACACAAAAAAGTAGCTTACAATTACCAGTTATGATATGCCATATTTGGTTGTGATCTCTTTTTTCGTTTTAAGGTTATAAAGTCGTCCTATCCGACTTCATTGTCACCGTTTATATATAAGATAAAACTTGAGTCAAGACTCTAACCAACTTGCATGAAAAACATTCATGACCACGTACACATTTCACTACTAATATCCACTGCACAAACTAAGATATTACTAGTTTTTAGTTAAAATCGAAAAATATTAAAAACCTATTTGTGTTTTATTCAAAATTATTACTGTGCATAACATTTGTAACAGTAAATAACAGTGAAACTAATTAATCCTCAGAAAAAATGCATAATTTTTTTAGTGATATTTACATTTCTAAAGAAGTAGTTATTGATCACAAAGAAAGAAAGAAGCTAAACTAAAGCCTAAGAGTAGGGGTGATCAAAGTTAACCTGTTCCCCGACATTGTTGTTGTTGTTGTTGGACTCGCTTTCCTCCGATTCCCCCGATCTGACACTCGCAACACTGGCTGTGTCGGAACAAGTGTCTGGTGCTGCAACTGAGGTAAACAACGTAATTTTATCAGTAACGTGTTTATCAGTAATGTAATGGTTAGATACTGCTTAGTGGTTTTATACAAATACAGGTCTTACTTTGTAGTGAAACCATGTCAATCTTTCTTCATAAATTAAGCCTAAATCAGTTGATTTTAAAAATTCATTGTCTACCTTTGGTATACTCTAAATATTCCATTACCTATGTAAAATGAATTTGAAATATTACTTACCGTTACTGTTTGAAGCTTTTACGACTTTACTTTGTTTTGAGTTTTTGGTTTTGACCTGAAACCAATAAAATATTTAAATATTAATTAACTTCCTTGAGGTAGTAAAGAATGAATTGTGTAAATAATTAATCACATTACTTTAGTTAATATTAATGTCTTATGTTTCTACAGTTTTCCTTAACCTTTCCAGGGCTAAATTCAATTAAGGGATGGAATTTCATAATTTTTTGCCAAAATTAATAAACTAAAGTGGTTATGTTTTGTATTATTATTTTGCTTGAAATAATTCATTGATAGTAAAAAGATTTTCCTCAGGGCTGAACTAATTTTTTGTACAAAAGTTATGAAGAAAAAATCTGGTTTAATGGATATACCCGCCTTTGTAAAATATCTAAATATCTGATCAGGCATCCTTATATACAGTGTGTAAATTAAGTATTGAAACAAATCTTTATTTTTAAAACCGAAATAGATAGAAATATTCTGTTTGTGGCAATAATTATGAACAAAGGTTCCGCAACTTTTTACATCAAAAATATTTTTAACCCCCCTAACAGGGTAGTGTGAGTGTGTAGGGGGTGACAAATTTTTTTCAAATGGCAACCTCTATTGAGTGACCACTCATTTTAAAGGATTTGTCAAAAGAAACACAATGAAGCAAACCCGAGGTGTATATCCCACCCCTAGCCAAAATGGCAGGCATTCCAAAATTTGATTTCCTGTATGTGAAAAAGCACCAATTTCACAAGTAATGGAAAGAAATCTGTATTTTTTTAACCGAAATTGATAAAATGTTCTGTTTTTGGAATTGATTGTTAACATAGGTTCCGCAATTTTTTACATCAACAATTATTTTTTCACCCCTTTAACAGGGTAGGGGATGGGGTGACTTATTTTTTCAATAACAACCCCTATTGAGTAACCCCTCATTTTGAAGGGTTTGTTAAAAGAAAAACAATGACGCAAACCCAAGGTAGATATTTCACCCCTAGCCTAAATGTTATTTTTATTTTTGTAAAACAGCACCCACTATGGAATATCCGCCATTTTGGCTATGGCTGAGATATTCATCTCAAATTTGCGTCATTGTGTTTTTTTTTTTACAAACGGCGGGTATTCCAAAATGTTATTTTTATTTTTGTAAAACAGCACCCACTATGGAATATCCGCCATTTTGGCTATGGCTGAGATATTCATCTCAAATTTGCGTCATTGTGTTTTTTTTTTACAAACACTTCAAAATGAGGTGTTACTCAATTGTGGTTACTATTTGGAAAAAATAAGTCACCCCCTACTCCTGCCCTGTTAGGGGGGTTAAAAAATATTTTTGATGTAAAAAACTGCGGAACCTTTGTTAACAATTATTGTCACAAACAGAATATTTCTATCTATTCCGGTTTAAAAAGTACAGATTTGTTTTGATACTTAATTTGTATAATACATGAAGGTGATTTCTACGAAACACTACTCCTCCGTTAATAATGGACAGATTTTTACAAACGACGTGTCAAAATTAAGTATTTTTTGTGTAGACGCCCCCTTTCACCAATTCTTGTAATAAAAGTCCTCGGACTTTGCCCCGCAGGACATCAAATACCAATGTATTTCTTATGAAGAAAAGATGTTGTTTACTCAAACAGACAAATAATTTAAATATATATTTATATGTGTTCGTTAGCGCGATAACTCGAGCAAAAATCATCCGATTTTGATGAAATTAGGTACAAACGTGTAAACTTACGTTTATTGATCGGACTATGGAAACAGGGGTTTATGCGGGGTTTTATGGAGTAAAAATTGGTTTTCCCCATTTTTGACCCTAAAACCATACAATTTTAGAATTTATTCCCCAACCATTTTGTAGAGATAAAAAAAAAAAACAATTTAGTATATTGAAGCATTGTTGTATGCCTAATGGTTAGGGAGAAAGTTCAAAAAGTGTAAATTTAATTATTGTTATTATAATTCCCATGTTATTCTTAAGGAGAAAATTGTAAACTGTTGTGGTTTGCTTGTTTATGAACTTATTTTGTTTAAATCTGCAAAATGCATTAATTTCATACTAAACTATTAACATTTCACAAAAGAACACATTTTTTACCCTCCCTGTTGCAGCAAACCTAAGTACTCGTTAAACTAATGCTATTTAAATAGGGAATAAATGTGACATTTTTAAGGAGACATTTTCATGTAAATCCAATCAGGCAAATTGAAATTCGCTTTGTCTGCAGGTTTGCTGCGGTGGGGGTATTTATCCTTATTAGAGAAAAAAAATGAGAGTATAATGCTTAACATCACTAACACTTTACTATATACTGTAGGTGTTTTTTTTTATAAATGTTTCCATAGAAACATTAAATCACTTCGTTGAAAAATCTCAAACAATCAACAGCACCAACAATTACCTTAGTAAGTCTCCTTTTTTTGTCAATTAGTTAACCATGAGTCGCATTCGTAAGGTGGTGGTAGGTGTGGGTGTAGGGATCGCTGTAGGCTGGGTAGTGAGGAAAGTATTCGGGGGACCGCCTCCGCCACCTCTTGGAGGTGTCGGGGTGTTGGTTCCGCGAGTACTTGAACCACTACCTTCCGACAGTTTCCCTACTCCTGCACCTCCAGCATCCTGGGGGTGGGGCTCTTGGTAAGAAGTAAAGAAGGTGCTAGACGGCAACTAACCACAGAGCAAAGAATAATAAGGACAAACACAAATGAAAAACAGAAGGAGGCTGCAAACAAGGAAGCCAGGCGTAGGATACGACCCTGAACCTATAACCAGCTCTAAAAACGATGGCATGAAATTCTCTAGGGTAATTGAAACACCCTCTAGGAGTCTAAACAAATAGAAGATATGCTAGCGGCAAACTAGATAGGCTAGCAAAGGCCAGATAGGCTAGCAGCAAACAAGATAGGCTAGCAGCAAACCAGATAGGCTAGCAAAGACCAGATAGGCTAGCAAAGACCAGATAGGCTAGCAGCAAACAAGATAGGCTAGCAGCAAACCAGATAGGCTAGCAGCAAACCAGATAGTCTAGCATCAAACCAGATAGGCTAGCATCAAACCAGATAGACTAGCAGCAAACCAGATAGGCTAGCAGCAAACCAGATAGTCTAGCATCAAACCAGATAGGCTATCAGCAAACCAGATAGGCTAGCAGCAAACCAGATAGGCTAGCAGCAAACCAGATAGTCTAGCATCAAACCAGATAAGCTATCAGCAAACCAGATATGCTAGCAGCAAACCAGATAGGCTAGCGCTAGCAGCAAACCAGATAGTCTAGCATTAAACCAGATAGTCTATCAGTAAACTATACCATGGGATTAAATGAAATAACCTTTACTAAGAACTGGTCAAGACCAACTCGATGAGGGAAATCAAGAGCGGGATGTTGAACGAACAGAGGAAACCAAAGACTAAGAGGTTGGAATTTAAATACCCAAAGGAATGTCTGGTGGAGGTTCTTAGCTTTGCTGTAGAGTAACCAATAAATACTCCCTTCAATGAATTACATATTTTATTTTTATTTTTGAATAAAACATAAGTTAAGGGCTTCTTTATAAAAAGAAATGTTTTGTGAATTATCTGAGCATCGTCAACAATTTTAAAAAGTGTTTTGCAGGTTATGTCAAGCTGTAAATATTGAATCATGACCATATACTGTTCCTAAAATAAATATCACTAGTCTCTTATAATCCTTCAACAGTGACAGGGAGTTAAACAAATTTGGATTTTGGGTTTTCTGTTGCTTTAAAAACTATAGGGAATGGAGGGAAGCCTGAAAATTGAAGTACCTAGGAATAGCTATAACCCAATCCCAAGAGTCATGTTGTGAATGTACCTTGCGAGTTGAGGAGTAGAGAACGTCGTCAAATGATTGTTTCCCGATCTCGTCCAGTTTCAGTGTCCTTGGGTCCTTCTGTAAGGTGAGCTCCAGGACATCACCCTCCACGGGTAGGACTGGTGGGAGGTCCAAGGAGTCTAGCGCATCTGTACCTTCCTCATCCTCCTCTAGGAGTGTCCTGCAAACAGGTCTCTGGTTCGAATCCCACCAACCACCAATGGATTTTTATCTTTGTGATAATAACATGTGTGGTAATAACTTCCTCTGTGCCTAGCATGGAGTAATACGTAAAACGGTTCCGGGCTTGAGTCCAGCAACTTGAAGTGTGAAAGTAGGATTAAGGGTAGTTTCTTAACTGGGCTACCCTAATATCGATTGAAACCATCGATTTGATTAGTAAACCTTCATTCAATGTTTTCATTATCAGCAAGTTTGGTTAGTTAGGTTAGGTTATAACAAATTCATTTTATAATTATTAATATAGTTAAAAATAAAAATATTGATTAAGGACCTAATAGATATTTTCAATCAATAGTTTCAAGTTTCAATCGATATTAGGGTAGCCCAATTAAAAAACTGTACCCCATATTAAAATTTGAAATATAGGGTAGGGAGACACGTGTCTGAAACTCCTTAATTTTAAGTAAAATTTTAAGTAACTTATCATGTATTTGTGGACTTTTTCTCTCCTTATTACCTAATAGTTATTTTTTTTACTAGGGCCTACCTAATTATAAAAATTCTTATCATCGTCATTTCGAAACCCGCGGTCACAGCAACGTTATCGTCATCACCCCCCCCCCCCCCCCCATCCTGGAAAAGCGGTAATTTCCGATGTCGCAATCTTCTTGGATGCATCGGGTTTTTTTTACAATCGATTCCCAATACCGATGTCCAAGTTACCAAATATGTTTCAGGCATCAATTAATGGACATTTGATTAGATTTTACGTGGTCAGTAAAGTTCCTGACTGTAACAACAAAATTAAGAACAAATCCCAACTTTTCAAGAACATTTTAAAATTCAATTTTAATTCCCGACTTTCCCGTTTTTCCCGACTACTAGACACCCTGTTTTTAGCACAACATTCTACTTAACACATTCACTGCTAATGATATGTAATACTTTTATAAATGGCTAAAAAACATAAACATTAACATGATCATGTTAATTGAGTGACAATATATCTTTAATTAAATAAATTTTATACTATAAATTGTGGATTAAAATATATTATGTAATTATATACATCATGTATTATATATCTGCTAATATACTTATGACGCACAAGTGCGTCATTAGCAGTGAACGTGTTAAGGTGAAACTCAAGTTTGGAAACAAATTATTGTCTAACCAAAACCAGAATTACCTAATAGTACTTCTGGTATGTTGACCTTTAATTTAGTATACAGATTTTGCTAAAGTTACTATTTAATATTTATTTATTTAGTATTTTTATAAAAGTACAGAATATATTTTTTAGCTTACACCAGAGACCAGAGAATGTAAAAACATGACTCACCCACTTACAGTAGTGACTGGTCTTTTGCTCACTAAATCGTTTGCCGTTTGTTTCAGTCTAGATGTCAAATCCAACAATGTTTCGGTAACAGGAGACACTTTCAGTTCGTCAAACAGCGAGGTTACAGGTTCTTCTTGGCTTCCTGTAAACAAATAAGATTGATGAATTGATGATAAAATCTCAAATCTGTGTAGATGAGATTTATTTTTCTAACAACAAAAGTAATGTTTCTTTCGATCTTTTAAGCTTTTTTTTACACAGGAATTTATGACATAGCAGTTTTGGTCAGTACCCTTTTTTCAGTAAAATCTAAATCTTAAAATTTTATATAGTTACCTCCATATACATCAGGCAGATAAGAGAGCCTCATGATGTTGCGTGAGCCGGCAATAATGAATATCTCCGAGGCGGTCACAGCCATAGAGTGGACGTCCGTCAACCCATAGACACAAGCTACTACTGATATACGCTGGGGGTCCAACACCACTAGACCTGTAGTGTTGTGAGATACTAGGTACAGTCCCTTCCACGGCATTACTACGCCAAGCTCTCCCTCCCAGCCCCCCACCCCTTCCCTCACAGGAGGGGGGTGTAGCAGGCGGATCAGCTGGTGCGGCTTCTTTATTGCGTCCTAAAAAACATTATTATCAGACCTTTAATAATAGCTTGGTAGTCTAGGTATTTATAGATATTATTCCTCTGTTGCTATATTGTTTAGTATAATATGGTTATAAATATATTAGAACACTTTGTGATATTTAGTTATTTATCTTGAGTTCCAGGAAAATTAACTTATTCAAACTTTTTTCAAGGTTGATCATGGATATTAGACTGGCCCATGTATCTAACTAGAAGAAGGATTCTATACATTTTGTTAAAAATAACTCTTTCTCCATTTACTACACAAAAATTGTATATTTCAATTTCTAAAAAGTGAAAAGAACATAGAGTTCCCAACTTTTTTGTTCAAAGGTTTGTATTTGATATCAGGGTTTGACAAGAGTTCTAGTTTCAAAGTTAAGAGAAGTAGGCCTAAATCATAAATAAATAGAAATGTCTTTATTAGCCATTATTTTTCTAATAGATTTCAGTTTTTCAGAACAACAAGTAGACTCATGACTCAAGACGACTAAAAAACAACTTTAAAATACCTAAATGGCGATTATATGTTTTGAGTTTTGACGTATATATGCGTCGTATGCTTGTTGCTGAGTTGTGTATATAAACGGCCAACACTCACAACTGAATAGCATCGTTGGCATATATATGGCCAATACTCGGGAAGGATTAACATTTATTAGTTTTAACTTACATGCCCCAGGTATATGTTGTGAAGAGTGATTTTTTTAATAGTTTTTAAGAAAGAAAAATGTACGAAGGTAAGATATAGTGGTCTTTTACCTTGAAGATCAAAGTTTTGTGCACAGTGCCGCTACTATCTGACTGCCAGAAGCGTAGACCAGCTCTTCCTGAGTATATCGTTCGCTCTAGGGGTTTCTGAGGCTGTACGAAAAACGTTGCTCCAACTCTACAAAGGCTGTCAACAAACATATCTGTATCAATACAATTTTTGAAAATACTTTCATAGTATTGACAATGGATACAATGATTGTGAACATCATCAGTAGTATTGTAGTTAACATATTTTCTTCAAAAATTCAATTGCCTGGATTTTTGACTATTCGGATAGGGAAGTCCCAAGTTATTTGAATAATTGCTGTGCTTTTTATTGATGTGATCCAGCAAAAATAATCTTTCACTGGACTCTTTTTTAATATCTGATGTGGCTTGAACGAGATCAGTGCAAATACAGTTCTACACATTAAAATGGCTTTAAAGTCATAAAACATCTTTAAAAATAGCAAATTTGCCGGGGGGAAGGCCGGTCACCCATGGAACACCCTGGTTAGCCCCCCTCCCTTGACAAGTTCCTAGAACTGCCACTGGTTGCAGATATAGACAGTTAGTGGATATATCTGCACCATATGCTTTATTAATTAAATCATTTATGCAATAAGAACTGTATTTGAAGAAGAAATGTATAAGAAGCGCCAGAAATTAAAATTCTTCAGATCCAGACCACAAGGCACGCCCTTTCAGAAAGCAAGGTAGCCACAGAACTCTTGGAAAAAACACACATTTTTCCCGGTTTTCCCAAGCAGCAAGTACCTTTTTATTAGGGGTCTGCGGGTCCCTGGTATTTTTGAATCGGGTCATGCCAACAGCTGGCTCAAGGAAAGGGGTCAAGTAGGGCCAAGCTTGGGGCAAGACGAGCGAATATTCCTGTGATGGTGGAAAGCGTTTGCGAAAAATTCATGATAAAAAATTGACAGTTTTGGCATGATTGTGGGTGATGTCCACAGTTTTACAATAACCTTGAAAATAGTAACAATTTGTCTTGATGGCGGAGAAGTTCTTGATTTCACAATGAAGTGAAAAAAGGAAGATGTTCTAGATTTTCCATTATTGTGGAAGATGTTCTTGATTTCAACGTGACTGCAGAATATGTTGACCTCAAAACTGCCCTGCTAAGAAAGAAGGCAGTATGTGCAAAAGTGAATATTTTCAGAAAATGACCTCAACTTTGCCGCCATTGCCCTAACACATGTGAAGACTAAACTAATATTTTTTGTTATCTTCGGTAATGCTTAGGCCTAAATATTCAATTGACACTATAAAAAATAATTTTTTTAAACTGGATCAATATAAAAATGCACATACTGCTTTTGTCCTTAGAAATATTTGTGTTCATGCTAAGCCAAAAGGCAGCATCTGCTCATACTGCCATTTTGCTTAGCTAGTAAGTGCTAATAATAGAACCCAAAGCTAAAAGGCAGTATCTAACTACTACTAGCCATTTTCATATTTACAAACAACAGTGTAAACACAAACACAACAACATAATCTCAGCTGGTAAAAACTGCTTTTAGTTCCTCATTTGTACCCATAATGCTAAGCAAAAAGGCAGTACGTGATGTACATCACTAAGCATAAAGGCAGTATCTACATCGCAGATACTGCCTTTCTTGCTTAGCTTTTATAGATACTGCCTTTTAGCTTAGTTTTTGTTTAAAAATGATGTATATACTGCAATATACACCTGCCATATCTCAGAAACGGTTGTAGATGCGGCTTTTTAAGTGTGTTTTTCAGAATCCCTGACCCCAAAAACCTTAAATTACAACAAAATCTGAAAATCAAAAATTTTGCACTTACTGCCTTCTTTATTAGCAGGGCAGAAAAGATGCATTTGATTTTTCCGTAACCATATAATGTGTAAAAAGATTTTGTCATGACCTCTGAAGTTGGTCTCAATTTTTCTGTAACTGCAGAAGATATTCATGATTATGTTGTAAGCAAAGACAATGTTAACAGTATTGCCGTTAACGCTGAAGATGTTCACAATATCACAGAGACTCAGAAGATGTTCACGATTTAATTGTGACTGCGGAAAATGTTCACAACGTTATTAGAGTCAGGTTTTTCATGCGCTAACAGAGTTTCATGAGGGTTTACACAAGCAAATATAGGACGGCGTGGTGTTAAGCCTATCTAAAGTCGTCTTAAATCCATATTTGATAAAATGGAACTAAAAAATTGTTCTCCCAGCAGAATTAAAAAATGCATACATAACTGTTGCAACCCTAGGGAAAGGGCTGAATACCAAAACAGAATATGTTTCAACACTGACTGTTTACCTGCGTCTCTCCTGCTGGCCGACCTGAGCCACCTTCCAAGAGCCACTGTCTGGTCTATGTGCTGATATACAGCGGTACTCAGTGGCTACCACCAACACCTGGCATTGCTGATTGTAGCTCAGCTGTACCACTCTGTACTTCTCATTCAGGATCTCGCACGCCTTGCTCAGGTTCTGCAACATCAACTCTTCAGCTCCATCATCCAACATATTGAATACACGATTGACATAACCATATTTCCAATTACTTACTAGTTACTATTTATGCAAGTATAACTCAACAAAAAAAACTTAAAACTGTACCTAACATGCGGAACCTGGGAGTCAAGCTCAGAACTACTTCATGTGGCCTTTGTTGAAAAAATTAATGCATTCTTTAAGCTACATCACAAATCAAATATTTTGCTACGTTTTGCTTGTTCTTTCTGTATGTGTATGTCTCCCAAAAACTTGTTTTGAAATAGTTTGGATTATCATGTGAACAGAGTAAAAACAGGTATAATTTAATTGATGAATAGTCTAATTCTAATTCAAAGAGTTTAAGACCAAATACCCAAACAATTGGTTCAAGAATTTTTCAATCAGTTCAGAGATTTTGTCAACACCTAGAGTAACGGATCACCTAGAATAAAGCAAACTGTAACATAATTTTACCATACTGTGATACTTGTACCATAATGTTACCATAACTTTTGTTCGCGATGGCAATATGCAAAATCAGGTGATGTTTTATTTAAATATAGGAGCTCATAGCTGTTCCCATGGCGTCATATCACACCACATCACACCACCTTTTCCAACCCAGCCTAAATCCTCCCTCCTCACATCAGTCTACACAAGGTCTTAGCACGGTAAACACCTAAGCAGCCCTCTGAGCAGTTAAAATGTAACTAGTGTTATTATTTACAAGAACACCAACCCCTAAGTCTCGTCTAGGATAGTTCTTTGACATATTTAGCATTTTAAGGTTAAAAGTATTAATCTAAGTTGAGCTTGCAGTCTGGACTGAACTTAATCTCACTACACCAATGTCATTGCCCTACAAAAGTCTCAGACTAACTTAAAAATAAATATATTCATCACTAAAATTTGAAAGTTTTAAATAGCACATTTGCATAAGTTACCATGTAGAAGTCAATCTCTGTAAGTACTACTAGGCCAGTGGCGTCACCGCTAAACAGTTTCTGTCCGTTGGTGCTCCACTCTAGCGCTGTCACTGGAGTAGAGTGTAAGCCTCCGACTGTGTATCTCTCCACCTACAATACAATACAACAAATACAAAGTATATTTCACCACCAGAGCCTACAATGGAGCTTTTTGACCAAATATTTTTACAATTAATTTTGTCTAGTTAAGTCCATAAAGGTGTATTTATTACTTAAACATACAGTGAAACGGCAACAAAAATTAATAACCCTGCTGAAGCAAACTTGCAGACTAAGTGGATTTCCCATTGCCTGTTACAAGATGTTCAGTAAAATATTTCTTTAAAATTGTCAGATTATTCCTTATTTAATAAATAAATAGGTATAATGAATACTTAGGCTTATATAAAACTAGCTGGCCCGACAGACGTCGTCCTGTCCTAATGTGGTTTTATGTCAAATGCTCGTTCATTTTCAAGATGAGCTCGTTCGCATGGCTCAATCACGTCCTGGTTGAAGTTTGTTTGCTACGCTCACTCACCTTCAGGTTAGTTCGTTCGCTACGCTCACGCACCTCCCAGTTGAAGTTAGTTCGCTACGCTCACTTGCCTTCAGTTACATTTGACAACGAATATTCGTAAAAAACAAATGGAATAGAATATATTGATTATGCATAGATTTGTTTTTAAAAATTAGGTTATCATTACAACAGCTGTTTCCTTAATTTAATTTAATCAAGATATGACAAACATGGCATGGTAAACAAAATAAAACATTCTTCCATAAGATTAACATGTAAACTGCAAAGGGCCATAGGACGCTTCCCTTAAGGGTTTTTGAAACGGAAACAGGCTATTATGTTATTCTAGTACCTAAGGAATATCCCTGTAAATTTTCATGCCAATTGGTTCAGTAGTTTTCTAGTTATAAACGCTGTGACTAACACAACTTTCTTTTATATATTAAGATGTTAATGGCTAAGTGAATTGGTCCCGGGTCTAGGTCTTACCTTGAGACCTAAGGTAATTTAGCTTATTCCCTAAGTGGAACATTCGCTACAAATTTCAAACAATGATAGCCTATGAAAATATTGTTTTTAATCAGGACTATTTTCTTTGGTAAAATCAGCAGATAAATTTTAAAGTTAGTAATATTTTCAGCATGTCCGTTAATCTAGCTGAGATACTTTTTGGCTTTAGGAATGAAAATAATACCTTACTTTTTAGTCATTTGTAGCCCAGCCAATTTAGGTGTATTTAAAACCAACCGGAGGAATATGATTAAATTATTTGAGTTCCCTCGTAGGTAGACAGTTAATCGTACTTACATTCGTAGAGGCGGTGGTTTGTTTGTAAATGGATTTGATCCATTCAGGTGTAGGTTTTGGAATCCTAAACACTGTGACGGTTCCGCTCTCATCACCCGCAGCCACCATGTAATCCACGGACGACACCAGTTTCACACATGTTATTTTGAATGTGTTTTTCTGAAAAAGAATAACTTAATAGGTACAGCTTTTACAATTAATTTTATGAGCTATTGATTAAATCCATTAAACCCTGCTGTTGTTGATCTAAGGGCTTTTAATATATGGTCCAGGCTAAAAAAGAACTAATCTTGATGGATACAAAGCTACAAAAAAGATCCCTACTTCTAAGCCCAAAGTATTTATATTCTACTTATAGTAGGCCTATACACAACAGTGTTGTATCAAACCTCAATGATATGATATCCCAGCCACAGCAAACCAGCGGACTAAGTGAATTTCCATTTGTCTAATTGCATTATTTTTACTAAAATATCTCCTTAAAAATGCCATATTTAACTTACTCTCTAATTAAATAACATTAGTTTAAAGATTACTTAGATTTGCTGCTTCAGGGAAGGTACCGGTAATAAAGTGTTTTTATAGTTAGGCCCTAAATGTCATATGAACATAGACGATTGATAACAGATTGAATAAGGTTTTCTTATTGATTAATCGAGTAACCTAAGAAAACCCGTAGCTAGATCAGGGTTCGGGATGTTCCCTACAAAATCTTTTATGGTGTAAAAAAAAACTCTGAAGAAATATTACCTCAGGTCTCAATCTTTGCAGATTATGGTTCTCGCGGTTGTACCAATATACGACACCTATATTTGTTCCAACTGCCAAATACTCCGGTAATGCATCAACACATGTTAAGCTGACATTTTCAAAATACAGTCCTCGGCGTACAGTCAGTGGTACTTCCCGTAGAAGCCGGCTTAGAGGGGCCCACTCCCTTAAGATACCTTCATCCTCACACCGGGGCTCTGCCATCTGAAACATAAATAATGTTTGCATGTTGGTTGCAAATATTTTATGTCACCAAAGTTTGACCACGGGAAACAAAAATGCTAGATTATTAATTACAGCCTAATTAAAGTCTAAGTAGAGCCAAGTGGTAATAGTGTTTCCCTTCAAATTTGAGGGAAGCTGATTCGATTCCAAGCAGGCTCGATTCTGGAAATTTGAAATAATAATAATAATTGAATAGCAAATTGAAATTTGAAATAATTAATGATGATTTGTGACAATAGGTCAACTTTAGATGGTAACAAGACCAGTGGTGAATCGTGATATGAGATTGATGGTTTTTTTCCAAATATAACTGTGAATTTCTTTTATTGAATTTTTTTTTCCAAATTGAAAATCCTTGAGGCTTGAACACAAAACACATTTTTTAAATAGAATGAAGATAATTTAAACTAAACGGTGTCCACAATCATAACTTGTAGATGTAATAGATGGGCATGCCAGTAGTCTATGTGGTTTTGGACGTATATGGTACAAATAATAATTATGCTAACTTAAGTTAACGCTTTAAGCTAAAAATGACGATATATGCCTATCAAACAAATATCATGAGTAACGAAACCATCACTAACTAATTCAAAAGTTAATAACAAATACGCTGAACACTTTTGTCTGGCACGTCATACAACCTAAGGCACAAACTAAGAACTAAAGTAAACCCGAATGCTTGAGTGTGTTTAGTTTTATCAGTATTATTGTGCAGTAGACTTTCCAATGGCTGGGCGGTCCAAGACATTGTCTCCTAGGCCAGTAGATAGCACAGTAGATCGTGGGTTAACATCTTCTCTCTTTCAGGTCTAGTTTGCAGCTAATGAGGAGTTTGCAAGAGTCAGTGACAGAACTTGGTGGGAAAGCTCAACCTAACTTGTGATGTCCCCAGGGTAAGACTGAGCAAAACGTTAAATTTAAATTCACTGTTAAGCCCCTGAGCTGTAAAAGTTATATTATTGTAAGAATAAATTACTTACCGGTACGTCAAATAGCTCAACACTGGATGGTAAATTTCTGTCAGAACATGTTTTGACACATTGAGTCATTATCAGCTGAGTACTTTTACTTGTGAAGTGTTGTATTCCACCAGATGGCTTCGTCATTGTTCAATAAATTAACATAAAACACAAAAGCAACAGAGTCTGTCCCCAACCCGCGGCACGACTGTAAGTTTGTCCAAGCAGGCCTGCAATTAATGTCTCTATGCGTGTTTTAAATTTTTACGTGTCGTGTGGTTTTCATGTTTTATGTTAATTTATTGAACAATGACGAAGCCATTTGGTGGAATACAACACTTCACAAGTAGAAGTACTCAGCCGATGATGACACAATGTGTCAAAACATGTTATGACTGAAATATTTAGCATCCAGTATTGAGCTACTTGATTAAGTAATTTATTCTTACAAACACGTTAAAATCATCCCCGCCCCAGTCAGCCATCAAGTTTTTCAACATACTCTCTCCCAGCATCGATGTCTGGATGACCGGAAATTCAAAGCCGTTGTGAAAGACTTGATGTTGAAAAGGCCGTACTACAAAGCCCGTTTATTTTTAGGATAATGTGGAGCGGGGCAGATATTTTTTTGTGCCGTCTGCTACCTGCCCATCATGCAAACCAACAGTATTATTTTATGTTGTACATGTTGTCTTGTTTTGTGTGTTTTTTTACGTAATATCTAGGCACAGTCTATTACCTCTGCTAGAGGGTCAATGAAGAAGGCCAATGAATCATGAATAACATAAACAATGGACTAGTATGGGTGGAAGTTGAGGGGGTTTATGGATTTTTTATGAGTTCAGGCTGAGTTCAGGCGTGGTGTTACATTTAAAGCCGCGTTTACACAGAAGTTAATAACATTTGTTGATAACTTTTATAAAACCCGTCTAAATTTGTCTGTAAGTTAACATTTCGTGTTATTACCACAAATCCTGTGTTTCTAACAAAAATGTTGATACTTTTTTACTTTTACTTTACTTTTCTTTGAAATGGCGACCATACAAAGTAGGTATTTTAAGCCAAGTATGAATGGAGATGAGTGTATGAGAGTGGCGCGATCTTGTAGTCTTGTTAGTGACTTATTCCTTAGACACAGCTGTTAATTAATAGCCCATACAGCTAATGGCGACTAAGGGACCTATAGAGGAATCCGAACCACTTTTTTCCATGGTATATACGAATTGGTCTAATTATCAGGATAGTACTGTGGATAGTCGTAGTACTCACCCATGCAGACGTTAATCCACACCAGGGAGTACCGCATCCACAGTGCATGCCTATAAATATACACAATTCGTGACCTCCTAGTAGCTGGATTACAGGACGACGCCATCCGTCCCAGTCTACCCACCAATAGTCGGTAAACTTTACATTCTTTGATCTTTCTATGGTGAATAAGTTAACACCTACCCAAATTGTTATTAACAAATAAATCACTTTTCACAGTGTAAGCAATCGATAACTCGTTTGATGACAAATTGGATTTTTCAGTTCTTAATATAGGCCTAGCCTAAAGGAAACAGATTAACAAGATTAACAACATAAAACCTAAAAATCCCCTCTGGGATAAGACTGGTAAAATCGAAATGTTAATGGGGAAAAAACAAGTACCAAGTTTATAGCTAATTATGTAGCCTATTGACCGCAAATCTGATTTGACTAACCTCAAAATACAACATTATTTAACATCTAAAAACTTAATGTAGCAATGTAGCCTTTTGGAAAAAGATAAAAACACATTAATGATGAATCTTTATCACAAATATTATGAACCTGATGACACAAAGCAAATATTTACCTCTAGAAGAAGATAGTTCAAGAATGAGTCATATTTTGACAGTGGCAAGATTTCGTTTCGGTAAAAGTCCGTTTGACGTTTATAAATGACGTTTCCTAGTCGCCATGGCAGTGGCACTTGGCTGGCACTCAATGGCAGGAAAGGAAAACGAAAACAGAAATCAGCATTCAGCAGTAGCAGACAGCTTCGGAGAAAAACATATGTTTGTTTTTGCTTAGGTCTAGGTCAGCTGTTATGTTTTTGAAGGATTGTTAAAGATGACAGTCTGAGGTCTGTCTGTTCTCTGTTGTGTCTGTGTCTCTACTAATTTCTGCTTCTGCTAATGCTACTGCTAAATGTTTACAGTACTAACTTATTTATTTCTTGATTGGGATTCAGTGTGAAAAAAACTGTAAGTAAGACATAACAAAATTACATCTTTTCTCAATGTAGACATACGGAGTAATTGCCTAAATACTTTTTTAGGTACGCTTAGCAGGCCTACTTAACCTAACTTAGGCCTAATTTAGTACACTATCAATTTTGGTTATGTTAGTCTAGCTAGGCCTAGGCCTACCTATAACTTATTCAGATTCTTATGATTTATGATTTTACAAAAGTTAAATCATGCTATGGACATTTTTAATTACTCTATTATTGTTTTGGAATGCTCATATTTTAACACCAAGGTAGCGTAACTTATCAGTTAGGGTAGGCCTGAATCAACCACACATGTAAATCGAGGGTAGGCCTACTTTACTTTGGTATTATCCGGAGGCCACCCATATACAGCACGCTGCGACGGTTATGTTAGGTTGGATTATCATAAATATGTTTGTAGGACTTTCCTTGTTTCATTATGAATCAAACAATAAGTTACTGGTACCAGATTAGTCATACTTTTGCTCGCCAAATCCCCTCCAAGTAGGCTAAGGTGAGGTCGTTGATCGGAGTGTGCACATCACCTGTCACCATCTGTCACTGCCTGTATCTGGTGTGGTAGCGACGCATTCAACTCAATCCTCGCCGACATTGCTGCCTTCTGGGAGACAGACCTCAAAAGTCGCTAATTTATATCATGTCAAATATGAACAGTAAGTTAAGTCAATTAAAGTATGTCCTTTCCATTTATGATAACCCAACCTAAAATAACCGCCGCAGCGCGCTGTATATAAAGGTGGCCTCCGACCTAGACTTGATTAAACCAGAAACAGTGGAGTTGGATCACCTATAGGTGCTCCTAAAATGTTTTTGTATGTTTATTGCCGACAATGTTTAAAATCTATTAGTTATAACAAATTGCATTTTCAGAAAATGGCTGATGTTGAGCTAGAAGAACATCTTGAGAGTGACGTTGTTCAAGAGGTATTAAAATCAGGGACGGATTTACGTCAGTACTCACGCCAAATTGAACAAGAGCTTAAAGAAGTTGAAAATAAATCTATTCAAGATTATATTAAAGAAAGTCAAAATATTGTTAGCTTACATAATCAAATAGCAGCATGTGATTTTATACTTGAGGTAAGTTTAAAACTTAATTTTTCTTATTATTTTTCTTAAAAAATTACTCAAAGATTATATATTAAATTTAGCTATTTATTCTATGGAAGAGTTCTCTACCTCCCTGGCATAGGTAGCATTAAGTTATTTTAATTTTGTATTTCATTCTTGACTAGCTAAAGACTTGTTGTTATTATTTTACTTGTTAATATTTACTAATATCATTGTAGTTGTATTTCTTTTTATTGACGCTATTCATTGTACCACCTTTGTACAAAAATATGAATAAAGAATATGAATATGAATATGAATATGAATATTAGGTAGGCCTACCGGTACGTTTGACCTACTTTTAACTACTAGGCCTAAGTTAAGCATGCTGTGTTGTTTTTTTTTGTTTTTTTTTATCAGAAATCCAATCAATTGCCAGAACAGCCAAGTGGTCATTTTCATGAAGAGGTTATTCTCCATCCATTTCTTCATCAAATCTGAAAGTTTTTTAAGTTACATTCCAAACCAGATTAGTTCTGGGACCAGTTGAAATTCATAATTTTAATTTGAAATTAATGATGTAGCCTAGCTATGCAACCAAAGGTTGACGTTAGAGAGTAACAAGATTAGGCACTTACAGTCAAGCTTATCAACAGAAATGTATAAATATCAATGGCTTAATCAAATACAAATAAATAGACCAAAATAAAATCTTATTTAATTAAACTAGGCCTTAAACTTATAATCGAAGAATCATTTGCATTATTGAGCCCCATTGTTATACAGTATTGTATTCATAGATACTAACTCTAAAATCATACAAAAACCTTAGGCCTATTACGGGGGTAGCTACTATGTTACTAGCCTAGTGAGTATCTTGGACATTGGTTGGAGAGGGACAGGTTCAATCCCCGTCATATCCACATAAATTTTAAAGGTTCGGATCTTGGTCCACATTACTCTACTGGGGTAACTAAACCGAAATATAAATTGGAATGATGACAGTAGAATGAAGTGTGATCTATTGTATAGATAATAGTTACAAGCATAGTAACTTAGTACTGCTTTTTCACTGACCAAAAACCTGCTGTTTCTTTGCTCAGGGCCATAAAAGCCAAATGATCAAAAACTGTTAGGTCTTGTTTTGAACCATCAAAAAGCTACTGCCTATCCTCAGGATCAGACTGCTTTTGTTATGCTAACACTAACCACTCACTACTCAGCTGGTGTGTGTGTCTGAGCTTAGTCTTAGGAGCTGTTTCGCTAAGTTGTTATATTGCTTGCCTTTGTCTAGTAATCAGTAGACGGCTGGTAACATTGAGAAAATAGTTCCTTCAAAAAGATAGGTTAACTTTTTGATGGTGCAAAACTGGACTCAGTTGGGCTTGATCATTGGGCTTTTAATAAATGTTGCTTAAATAATCCTCGGCAAAGAACCCACCTATCCTATCCTAATCTCTAACAAAGCTAACTATCATCTCATTCTTTCCACACTCATTTTCATCGCATACACACTATGGTCTGTCTGCATCTTATATAATCTAACAAGTCAAACTGACTGATTAATACAGAGGATGGAGAGCATGTTGCTGGGGTTCCAGTCTGACCTTGGCAGTATCAGCAGTGAGATAGTGTCTCTACAACGCAAGTCTGTGTCTATGTCACAGCAGCTACACAATCGTCAGGCTGTCAGAGCACAGCTCAGTCAGTTTATTGACGACATCGCTGTGCCTCCAACACTGATTACGTGAGTTGACCTACTCAGCTGGTATCATGTCATGTGATATACTAGCTTTGACTATTGATACAACTAAACATTCCATCCCCATGCTAGAGTTGTCGCTAGTTTTTTATCAAATTTTTTCGTAGTTGATGTGAGCAAACGACAGATTGCACTGATCTAAATTACTAATTTCTGTCAAATTCACAATGTTTTTCACCAAGTCAGACTTATAGAACGACATAATAGCTATATCATCTATTATTGACCCATTAGCTATGTCAGAAAAAAAAATATAAGGTAGAAAATAGAATTTTTAGACATTAGCACATTGTGTGACTGGCTCACACAACTACATGTTTTTTGCAGAAATTTAGTAACAGCTGGTCCATATAGATTAGAGGTCTACTTCTGAATCCAATATTCAATGATACTAGCTCATATTTATTTTATTGTTTCATCAATTAAGCCTAGTACTTTTTTTAACAACAATCAAATTTACTCAGTGATATTTTATAATTGACTAAGTCCATTTGTTTGAAACTGTTTTCCACCTTCTAAGCAACATTGTCATAATTTGTGAGTTTAAATCCAAAATAAACATTAACAACCAACCTCTTTTCAGGGTCAGTTGTGTTTTTTTCCCAATTACATGTTTTATTCATTTTTACAACCGAGAAGATTTGTTTCAGAGGGATCTTGGAGTGCAATGTGACAGAAAAAGAATTCCCGACCCACTTGGCTGACTTGAACCACAAGATAAGCTTTGTCAAGGAGCAGAGTTATAAAGGTAGGCCAATGGTTAATAAACATATAAACTAATTTAAAAAAATATTTGCCTTCATATAAGTATACAGTATACCCTCTCTAATCCGGCACTGAATCACTCCGGCACTCCAGTAATCCTCCAGCGTCTTTTGACGGGTGAGGTCTTCCGCGATCGCCGCAAAATTCTGATTATCTCCCGCGACTGTGTAGACATCATCATCCACTCCCTCGGTCACAAATACGTCATCGTGGTCTTGCGCAATCGCGGCAAAATCATGAACATCGCCCGCAGTCACGGAAAAGTCATAGTCGTCATGCACGATCACAGCATAATCATGAGCATCTCCCGCGGACGTATAGACGTTATCATCGCCTCCTGCGGTCACGGAAACGTAATCGTCATCATGCACGATCGTGGCAAAATCATGATTATCTCCTGCGGCCGTGTAGACGTTATCATCTTCTCCCATGATTATGGAAACGTCATCGTAGTCATGCCCAATAGCGGTTTCCGATCGCGCGATCTTCTGAGACGTGTTTTAATTGCATTTTAAGTGTTTTCATTGATAACATTCCATTAATCTAGGGCATTTTCACTAATCCGGCAGTATCACGGTCCTATATCTGCCGGATTACTGAGAGTCTACTCACTGTAATTGTATTTTTCTTAATATTTTCAGATGTGAAAGCCTGCCAAGATGTGAAGGACGTGATTGAACAGCTGAAAGTCGCAGCAGTCACAAAGATTCGAGCTTACATGCTGGAGCAAATCTCTCGTTTCCGAAAGCCAATGACTAACTACCAAGTGCCACAGAATGCGATGCTCAAGTATAAGTAAGAAATTGTCCTGTATTAAATTAAGTTTTTAAACAAAATTATTAAGATTAATATTATTAATAGACTTTCCAATCACTTTAAAACCACTAACTTTTAATAGTGTCTAAAAAATGCACATTTTTAAATTTATGGATGCCTATATTAAGATGGATCAAACCCCCTCAAATTTGGCGTTTAAGCTATATCATATTATCTTATTATGGAGATAAGGATGCAACCCAGTTGTACTTTAACCCAAATATGAATAGAAATGAGTTTAACATAAGTGAGACACTTTTAGTGTTGTATTGCCTAGTTTAAGGTTAGCTGTTTTCTTTTTTAGCGAATTTCCCTATAGGGAAGTAGCTATTACCGTAGGTCTCATGGTAAGACCTAGGCCCGGGACCGATTTACTTTTTCATTTTGATGTCCCCAGAGGCCAAAAACACCATTCGTTCAAATTTTTATATATCTATATATAGATACTAGCTGACCCGGCGAACTTCGTATCGCCTAAGTTATAGGTTTCCCCTAAGACAGACCGATGGAAAGAAAGTACCGTTACGTTTAATTTTCAAGATGATCTTGTTCGCATCGCTCAATCACGTCCTGGTTGAAGTTCGTTCGCTACGCTCACTCACCTTTGGGTTGGAGCTCGTTCGCTACGCTCACTCACCTTTAGGTTGGAGCTCGTTCGCTGCGCTCACTTGCCTTCAGGTTAGCTCGTTCGCTACGCTAACTCGCCTCCAGGTTGAAGTTCGTTCGCTACGCTCACTCACCTTTGGGTTGGAGCTCGTTCGCTACGCTCACTCACCTTTAGGTTGGAGCTCGTTCGCTGCGCTCACTTGCCTTCAGGTTAGCTCGTTCGCTACGCTAACTCGCCTCCAGGTTGAAGTTCGTTCGCTACGCTCACTCACCTTTTGGTTGCAAATTAGCTGTTGTCATAAATGTAAAAGAAATAATAGTGCTGCACCCTGTTGGTAATCCTTGTAACTTTAATGCTATTGAACATCATAGAACAGAACCAACTTGTTTAATTGAAACAGCTGTTAAGATTCATTAATTCCATTTCTCATAAGGTTAACATGGGAAACTCCAGAGCCACTGGGGCGGAGCCCTTTTAAGAATTTCGAAACGGGAAATAGTTTACGTCCGATTCGCATACCTACAGAATTTACACACCAAATTTCATAACGATCGGTGAAGTCGTTCCGGAGGAGTTTGCAGACAAACACTGTGACACGAGAATTTTATATATTAGATATATATATATATATATATATATATATATGTCCATCCGCACGATAACTTGAGTAATTTTTGTCCGATTTTGATAAAATTTGGTTTGAAGGTGTAAGGCGGGATAAACTCGAACGAGTTCGCGAACCAGCATGATCGGACTATGGGAACGGGGGTTTACGGGGGGTTTTATGGGGTAAAAATAGGTTTTTCCCATTTTTGACCCCAAAAAAATAAAATTTTGCAAAATCTTTTCAAACCATTTTGTAGAGCTTAAAAAAACAAATAATTTAGTATATTGAAGTGTTACTATGCGCCTAATGGTTACGGAGAAAATTCCAAAAAAATGTAAATTTTAAATTCCCATGTTATTCTTATGGAGAATGAGTAAACTGTTGTAGTTTGCTTGTTTATGAACATATTTTGATCAAATTTGGAAAATGTTTTTATTTCTTACTAACTATTAACATTTTACAAAAAAAAGTTTTACCCTCCCTGATGCAGCAAACCTAAGTACCTGTTAAAATAATTCTATTTAAATAGGAAATAAATGTTAAATTTTTAAGTAGACATTTTAGTGTAAATCCAATCAGACATATGGAAATTCGCTTAGTCTGCAGGTTTGCTGCGGCGGGGGTATTTTCTTTTTTTTTTGTCTATACAATTTTATTAAAATCTAATCATCAAGTACAGCTAGGTCTGGTTAGTTACAAACCACCAAGAAGCAGGTGATGGTTTATCAACTTTTATATTTTTGAAATATATTTGTCCTTGAGTAACCTAAAATATTAAGAATTAAGATAATAACTTTACTTATGTAAAGTAAAACTTAGACTATAGTCTAGCTTTTTCATTTGTCTATTATTACAGTCACATTAATACATTTTATCATTGCAGATTTTACTTCGAGTTCACTCTCGCTAATGAAAGAGCCGTTGCTCAGGAGATTTGTGGAGAGTATGTGGATACAATGAGTAAGATCTACTTCTCCTACTTCAAGTCTTACTCCTCGAAGCTTATGAAGCTACAGGTGTGTTTAACTTAGTTCATTTCAAGACCAACTGCGTAAATTTACAGTTTCATTTGTTTATGTTAAATTTTGCTTAGCTTTTTTCTTTCTTTACAAAATCAGGTGATTCAATTGCTCAGTCGGTTATGTGAGGTTCTGTGTAAGCGAGGCAACAGTGTCTTACTGGGTTTGCGTATCAGTGTCGCCACTTATAATTTATCACTACCACTCGAATCTCGTCCCTTATAATTTATCACTACAACTCAATCTCTTAACCCTTATTAATTTATCACTACAACTCAATCTCGTCACACTGTTTGCTTTGCTTGATGTTCTACACACTGGCCTTTGAGGCCCATGTTTACAGCAAATGCAAGGCTAAAAGGGGCTCCGAATCTATTACAAAAAATCATAAGTTTGGATAATATAAAAATGGTAACATAAACCTTTCTGACAAGTATTTTTTTAATAGTAGTAGGCCTATACTAGTTTCTTTCTTTTCGAAGAATCCGCAAAACTCTTTGTACACCAGCAAATTTGGAAAGAAATCAGTGCAGTTTATCAAAGTCCAAAGAGGCCATCTAGCCTTTGTTGGAAGTTTCCGTTGGCTCTTTTCTTTCTTTGGGATCCTCCCTATAAACTATTTTAAGTTCAAGGTTTTTCAAAGTCGCCCCTGAGGTTTGCTTGAACTGAAGCTATTTTGGATTGCCCAGGGAATTTAAGCGATTCCTGAAGAAATGCTGGAACGAGTAATGGATGGAATATTCAAGTGGCTAAGAGAATGTCAAGTAAGACAACACAACATCACTTGAAGGGTGTTGTTTTCAAGGATTGGAAAAATTACTCCATCAAGTTCATAAAATAAGCTGTGTTTTTATGTGCTATTGAAAGATGTACACTATTTAAAATTGGGGCTGTTAAATTACCTCATCTTGTATATCAATTTGTGCAGTTTGAGGAGCAAGCTGGGAAGGACGACCTGATGGGCATAGAGGAGACAGGACACAAGGGATTGTTCCACAAGTCATCTCTGAAGCAGAAGAACACCGTATTCACCATAGGCAGCCGAGGGGAAGTGCTCACCACACAGCTAGAGGCAGACATCATCATACCTCACTCAGCGCAGAAGAGCGAGATCAGAGTATGTCTCTTTGAAAGTAGCCTACATTTGGTCAGATTTGAATTCAGTTTTAGTACACCTGTTGATACAATTTAATAACAATGGACACCGACGCAAATATGCGACGTCAGTCTATTTTAATGTGACCAGCTGTCACATATGTGCGTTGCTGGTCTATATGACTGAAAAATTTAGTACTATTGCGGTAGTGAGCGTGTTAATCCCGACAAAAGGGTATATTTTTAGAGTTTACAATGTTACACAGTTATAAATACAAATAAATTTAAATAATGTTGTGATTGAATATTTATCAATGACAACTGTTTTCTAAGGTGAAAGAAAACAGCAAAAAGAACTTGCAAATAAAAAATGTATAGCTGATGTCCTCAATGCTGGAGGGACAAATTGTGTTTTATAGGTATGAATAATTAAATTTCACTCTAGGTATGAATACTTACTTTTTACTTAGACATTTAAATTAGATAATTAAACTGTTATTGTTCAACAGTACCCGTACGAGGCCCTGTTCCGCAGTGAGCAGTACGCATTAGTGGACAACGCATGTAGAGAGTATCTATTCATCTGTGACTTCTTCATGGTGAAGGCCAACCAGGCAATGGAACTGTTCAACCGGATACTGAGTGAGACTCTTAACCTGATGGTGGTGAGTCTAAGATGATATTAACAGTTTTTTGTGGAAAATTCTCAAAACTGTATTTACTACAGGGCTTTAGTTAAATATTCCTTTTGACTAGGGATGGACGGGACTGTATTTTTAGTATGGGACAGGCGTGGACGGGATATTTATTTCCTTCCCAACTTTTGTGACAAGATATTATTCCCCGAGCAAAAAAGGGTTTGTTTTGGAAATATTAATTAAATATCTTTGAAGATAGCAATAACGACAAAACAAAAACAATTTTCACTGTTCTAATCTAATTACAAACCAATGCTAGATAACCAAAAACAGGGCTTAAACGGAATGTAATTACATTTCTTTAACCTGAGTAGGGTTTTAACATCTGATATTTTGGCAGCTTAACAGCAGTACAAGCTTTAATAATATTAACATTTTGTAATTTGCCCCCATTACAATGTTATCATGAGTATAATCCGTGATCGTTGCACCATCATAAACATCACCCGGGATCATGACGCGATTGTCAACTTGCAGTCACGGCTCAATCGTCTTAATGCCCCACATTTGTGGTGCTGTTATCAAAGTGTCTTGAAATCATGGCGCCATCGTTAACGTGTCTTGTGGTCATGGCGCCATCATGAACATCACCCGGGATCACGGCGACCCATCCATCCCTACCTTAGACCTCTGATTGAACATTTTTAGCCTGTGGATCATGTTAATATTAACTGTTGTATTATCCTGTTTACAGCTAGGCGACATCTCTATTAATTGTCTACTAATAGAACTAAAAATTTACTCCAAGTTATCCTTTGAATAAAATTTAATTTATGTAGTTATAGAAATAAATAATTTATCCTAACTCAGGGGCAGTGTGAGGAGACACCGGACAAAGATGGCACGAGTAAGACAGGGTTGATACTTTTATACTTAAATACTTTTCTTTGAAATGGTGACCATACAAAGTAGGTATTTTAAGCCAAGTATGAATGGAGATGAGTGTATGATGAGTGGCGCGATCTTGTAGTCTTGTTAGTGACTAAGGCCGACATATTCCTTAGACACAGCTGTTAATTAATAGCCCATACAGCTAATGGCGACTAAGGGACCTACAGTTTATAGTGGAATCCGAACCACTTTTTTCCTTGGTATATACGAATTGGTCTAATTATCAGGATAGATATGTTACGCTCCAATAGTGATTTTTATTTGGCCTCTCAAATCCATTTATCAGTTTTAGAATTAATTCTTAATCAAATAAAACACACTGAGATCCTATTTTCATCCTAAATTGGTTAGACCTGTATTATTGATTATCACATCTTAGAACTTTTGTCAACTATTATTTTACCGATTTGCAGAAAAACTTAAAGACGTATGTGTCGTCTTGCTACGACGGCATCGCACTGTTCCTGTGTATGCATCTGGTGATGAGATATCAGATGTTGTGCCACAAGCGAGCTGTGCCTGCTCTAGACCAGTATTGGGAGGCTCTGCAAGCAATACTGTGGCAAAGGTAGATGTCTACAGCCATAGACAAAAAGAATTAAATATAGAACGCCAGCTGTGCTGCGGTTACCATAGATTCTGGCGCACACCGCTGGGAGCGCCATGTAATTACGGGGTACACGCTACGTAACTACATTGCGCTCCCAGCGGTGTGCGCCAGAGCCTATGGTAACCGCAGAACAGCTGACAGTCTATATTTAATTATTTTTGTCTATGCTACAGTGCACCAAGCACACCATAGTTAAAGATAGAATGATTACAGGGTCCATACTCTCCTTGTTGATCTGGAATATTAGCTTTAAAGTACTATAACCTCTCATCAATGAATACTGAAGGCTGTATTGAATGAAATTAACTTAATATGAAGGAAGGCAGTGGTATACCAAGAACATTTGAGTACTCTGAGTATACTGTAATGAAATACTTTTTCCGCAGAACAGCTTGAATACTGTAGTCTATTCTAAATTTGTCAAATTGTCAAACTAGTGAAACACTGTAATCTCAAAGCTGTGTAATAAGTAGGGGTCTGCGGTGCACCGAAAAAGTCGGTACGGTACGGTACAAGCTTAATTACCGTCATCGGTTCGGTACAGCATTTTACACGGTACAAATTCGGTTCGGTACAGCCTATTATAATAATAAATAACTTTCAGTTTACTATCGTAGTCAACGGCAGTTGGTTCCGAGCACATAAAAGTCTTATCAGATGTTTGTTTACGATCTTCATAATTTATTACTAGCGTGATGATGCAATAAAAAACCCATTAGCAGTCCCAAATCCATTAATATTTTATCACGACAATAATTGTTGTATTGAAGTACTTCCAAGAACTGTTGAGTTTTATCACTTTTATTTCTTTACGACTTTCCCCAATTCTGTTTTATCATAAAAATAATAGTTTTATGATGACTGTTAAATGTTATCTCTAACTTAATCAGTATTTTCGTGAATATTGAATTTGCCGCTGGCCATTGCCTACTGCCATAAAACTGTTTATGGCTACATATTAAACTTGTAACAAATCTACAATCTTATTTTATAAATTAAATATTTGTTATGGATATTTTATCTTTCTATTGACGACCATGGATATATACAAACTTTTGTCTTGATTTTAATTTCAACATCAAAATACAATATTGCACAATCGTGATATTTTAGGCCATTGACCTTTATTATGCATCCGGTATTGCTGTTTCAGAAGAGAAGCACGTTGATAAATTATAAATTGATATTCCCGTAGTTAAAAAGAATTATTTTATAAACCTATAAAACAAAATCATAAAATCTTACATAAAGATAACAAAAAATAACGGAAATTGTAAAAAGGGAATAAAGATAACAACGTCATTATTCTTTCTCTTTGTTCTTCTATTTCTTGGGTTTCCCTTATCACCGTTATCAGCTTTTATGACATAGCGCACAGCAGGGGGTAAAACACTTGAGTGCAGCCGAGCGGCACTAATGAGGGTCGGACCTTCTTGGGGGTGAACAATAGACGGCTTATCAGACCCTCCCCTCCCCTCCCCCGTGGTCTGGAGAAAGCTTGTAAACAAACTATTGCACAAGCGCGCATGACTTGACATTGGGCTGCTTCAATTATAATTTTGTCAAATGAACTGTGATGTTTCAAAATCAAAAACAATAATTTGGGACCATACTGCTTAACAATAATGGACTGCAATTATTGTTGAACATACAATCCATTTTTAACAAACTAAGATTATACGATTCAAATACAATTATAAAGATTATCTTGGTATTTTACTTGGGGTAATGAAGTTATGTCTAGGCTAGTGTAATTCTGGTTCATCAAGGTTCTACTGAATTATGTTTGGCAGTGAATATGTGTAGAATGCAATTTATAAATTCAGGGATACACACCTTTTACACAGTTATAAAGTCTAATTGCCCAACATCAAATCTTACTCTGTGATAATCCAAATTTTAGTTTCAGAAAAAAACTTTGCAAGAATTGTTTCCATCTTATAACTTAACTAGTTTTGAAGTTGATAAAAAAAATGGTCTTTGCCATTACTTCATCATAACCTCCAGTTTTTCATTGTCATCTGCTGTGAATAGCTGGCAAAACTACACTGTCTTCTACTGAATGCTTTAATATGTTTTTAAAATAAAATAAAAAAAACAACTAGACATTGTGTTGGTTGGAAATAATTTACCAGTTTTGTGAAATTATCTTGTCAATAAATGTTTCAAACATGTTTATTCATAAAAACTCTTATCCTATTTTTAAACTACTTTATCATGGCTATTCAAAGTATCTCAGAGTAAAATAGGTAAAGCCTTTATCTCAACTGTGATTTTTCTTGACACAATCCTCGTAGTAGTAAAAGGTTTTGTTTTAATAATATGTGGTACAGTAATTGTTGTTAGAAAACCATGAATGTAGGATACTATCCATTTTCATAGTAATGTCTATGTATTAAAGTTAAAAATAATGGTTTGGATACAGTTCTGAGAAGAAAACCGCAAAAATACGGGTAGCCGCGTACCGTACCGATTTTGTACCGAGAACCGAGGTACAAAATATTGTACCGTACCGAACCGTACCGACCTTAAATTTTCTGTACCGCAGACCCCTAGTAATAAGTATGCGTCTATATTTTCAATATTCAACACTTTTATTTATCTTTAGGCATACAAGGTGTTGCATTGGATTTTGTGAGTTATTAAATTTGGAAATAATAATGTATCCATCATAAGGGAAACCCGTGTGGAAATTATTTTAGATGGAAGAATGAAAAAGTGGTTGTTAGATTGATTGGAAATAGATTGGGTTATAACTGGAAAAAAATACTTGTGTTCTTTGTTGAAGATAGTTAAAATGAAATCTATATGATTGATACTGATTTTAAGGTTTTTGAGAGAGAAAAATGCTTTCACCGACCTTCATTGATATTGTAGAGGTTTGACTGGCGTCTGGCTGGGGTACCCCATCTTAGCTGTTGGTAGGCCATTATGGCGTCTCTATCCTGTCCAGTATTGTTCACTTTGCACTGTCACTTTATAAAAGTTTCATAAAAGAAAAACTAAAAAGTGCCTCTCTCAAAATAATCAGTAAAATAAAGATTCCTTTTGATCAAATAAAACATCTTTGCCAGAGCAAATGAAAAGTACTAATTTATAATTTAAAATTATGGCGAGTAGCTTAATGCTGATGTGATCGTAATGAAAGACGGCAGTGGACCGTGTTTGAGCTGCTCTGAGTGTGTGTGTTTGGTGGACACACGACAAGGGAGTACAAAGTTCAATAAGAATTGGTTCCTAACTGTGGTAGAATTTATACATACCATCATAGCACTTTCTTGGCAAAACACTATTAATCTTTACCTATTAATTTAATTTAAATGTCTCTTTAAAAATCTCACATTTAGGAAAAATATTACATAAATAGTGTCAAAATAATGCAAAACGTGCAACTATAATTAATTATTGAATTGTTTTATAGGTTTGAGTATGTGTTCCGCCTGAACATCCAGAGCGTCAAAGACTGTGATCCAACTAAGTTCACCAAAGAAACCAAACCACACTATGTAAGTTTTATGGTTTTTACAGTCATTTTATCTTACATAGGAAGTCTACCGATTATTAAAGCCACAGAAATCACTAATTTCACTATAGTAAAACGGAGGTCAGATTGATGCGGAACCATTCAAATGCAAATGCACTAATAGTCTTATCCTTTAAGTCTATTGTGCACGCTTAAATAAACTGCCTTGGAACCCTTGAATGTGGTCCAAAGATCAATTTTGAAAGTAGCTTTTAGAAAAAAAAAAAGGTACTCCACTGATGCGCTATTCCGTGAGACGGGAGTATTACCAGTCAGACATATTTTCATTCAGTTTCTTCTTAGTCACACATTCAAAAACTCAAACACGATCCTTACAGCAGTCACACATCAACACTACACAAGATATTCAAACAATGTTGGAATATCTGTCCCTCAGCTACATAGTCAGTTCTAACTACCAACTGTTTTTATGTTGCTCAGATTCTATATCGAAATCTAATTCAAAAATATAATATTCAACACATTTTTAGTTTACCCTCAATACAGAAATTCAAAAAACAGATGCTTGTTTTACTGCACACGATTACCAATGAAGAGGCCGAAACTTTGATCAGACCTAACCTTACTTGACCCTGACTAAACAATCCTTGACCCTTCGACCCCCTCGCCCTCACAATGTCTCCTGTCTTAGATTGCACTGGCTTTGGTTGTCGTCGCCGACATTCTCTTATTCGCTAAACGATCAAGTTAAATTAACAAGGCTTAAAAACCTTCCCAATTTTAGTGTGTGCCCTCAATTTGCTTAGACTGATAACAGCCAGGCCTACGCACAGGCACCTGCCCATGTAGGCCTATCCCATAAGTAAGGCAAATTTTATTCTATTTTAGAAATATTGTACTGTTAGTTGTATAGCTACTCTCTGTTTTAGTTTATATTCTTGGGATAAATAAACGTTTTTCATTTCATTTCATTTCATTGCTCAGGCAGATCAAGTCCTAGACACTAGACAGTGAGTCATACTTCTGGCTCTACTGCCTCTGTTCAATCTTTTTTAACTTAAGAAATTATACAAATCTGATGGTATAAATTATTAAATTAATATATTCTAATCTTCTTTCCATTCTTATTCTAAATTTGAGGTTAATTGTTTTATCTTTATGGAGTTATCTAATTAGATAACAGTTTGATAGTATTATTTAGGTTAGTAACAAATACAAATTTGGTATAAAAATGAACAGGAGATTCAAATTAATTAATTCATACCATCAGATTTGTGTATTTTCTTAAATTTAAAAAAGATTGCACAGAGATAGTCGGGCCAGAAGTACGACCATGCCACCGTCTGCCTGAGCAGCTCCAAGTGTGCACATTACTAGGAATAAGACTATTAGTGCTTTCAGATGGTTCCGCATCAATCTGACCTACGTTTACCATATGAAATCACAGACTTAAACTTAAAAGACATTTAAGTTTTAAATCATGGATTTTAATGATGGTTAAAGAAATAATATAGTTAAAGATAGTTACTTGGTATTTTAATTTCACCTTCTAAAATTAGTATCGAAAAATTAATTGTTTTAATAATGAATCACCTGTTTAGTAAAAACAAAAAATCTATATCTATACTTATTTATTTATCTATTACTTATTTAATACGCAAGCAGATTTTTTGTGACAATTACTCCTCCGAAACTACTGAACCGATTGTCATGTTTTTGGTGTCATTGGAAAGAACGTAACGAGAAGTTGTGCAGGAAACTTTCTTTTTAGGGAAATAATGAGAGAGTGAGGCACTGGAGCCCTTTAAAGTTTCGTATTTCTCCATAAGATTAACATTGGAAACAAATATTGTTATAAAACTCCAGCTGTTGTCAGAAATCATAAGTGAGAAGAAGAGCATGTTAATTGTAAACAGTCAATAAGTTTGCTAATTTAACAGTTTGCTACAAACATTTGCTGACTTGGTTGAAATTCGTTTTAAAATAACGCATGTAATACTTAGCAATTGCTCGAATTAGAGCAATAGGGACACTAGTACTTATTTAATACGCAAGCAGATCTTTTGTGACAATTACTCCTCCGAAACTACTGAACCGATTTTCATGTTTTTGGTGTCATTGGAAAGAGCGTAGCGTGAAGTTGTGCAGGAAACTTTCTTTTTAGGGAAATAATGAGAGAGTGAGGCCCTGGAGCCCTTTAAAGTTTCTTATTTCTCCATAAGATTAACATGGGAAACAAATATTGTTATGAAACTCTAGCTGTTGTCAGAAATCAAAAGTGAGAAGAGCATAGGTTAATTCAATTGTAAACAGTCAATAAGTTTGCTAATAAAACAGTTTGCTACAAATATTTGCTGACTTGGTTGAAGTTCGTTTTAAAATAACGCCTGTAATACTTAGCAATTGCTCGAATTCGAGCAACAGGGACACTAGTAAACATTATTTCAAAACAACTTTTTATCAATCACAAGTTCAACTCGGGATTTTTGAAATCCAATGAAATGTCTCTATTGTGGAGATAATAGGGATATCTTTATTCGTCTTGTGTTACATTCCCGATTCCTGTTTTTGGTAGCGATTTATTTTGAATATTTTGATATGTTGCAAGTTGCAAGCTTTCACAACTAGTAAGATTATTGTATTTTGTTGATACAATTTTGGACAACAGTAGAGGTATGCTACATTATTTTCCTGCAGATCACACGAAGGTACGCAGAGTTCAGTGCTGCCATCGTAGGTATCAGTGAGAGTTTCCCGGATGAGCAGGTGACCAGACTACTAGCCCAGCTGCTAGATGAGGTAGAGTGCTATGTGTTGCGCATGGCTGCTATCTTCCCCCAGCGAAAGGAACAGCTCATCTTCCTCATCAACAACTATGACATGGTCCTCTCTATACTAATGGTATGATCATGTGATGCTTTGAATAGTTGTGCAGAGTTTTGGGAGGTTCGGAGGTTTTGTAATGTATTTAATTTGGTTGTGTGGTTGTCTGATGGGAGTGTGTGTTTGTAAACAGCTGACACCATGGCCAACCTTACCTCTTTAGGCTACTAACTAAGATGGGGGTGCAATTTGGCATATTTCAGCCCTCTTGTGAATAAAGGAGGGTTAACACAGCCACAGAAAATGTCTTAAGACTTAAAAATCCAAAGAAAGATTCATATAAATGTTAAGTAATTAATATGATAAAATAAATATATGTATAACTACTACTCTGAAATTAATTATGACTTCTGTAATTTCCATTCTATGAAAAAAAATTCTTTTAACTAGTAAGTAAATTTTTGGTCGGATCACAATAACATCAAACTTTGGTTTCAGTTTTGTCCAGGAAAAGTTGTTAATTTTTAGAATGCTATACTCTTTTTTTTCCAACAGATTTTTTACCCTCCGCTTAAATGTGTAATTTAGCACAGAACCAGCATAAATCATGTAACGTCAAAGCCTATTAAATCTTACATTGAATCTCGATCGAGGATGAATAATGATAAATCACTGGTTTGTGCTGTTCCTTTCATTTTTTTGTGTTGTATTATCTACTAAAAAATGTAGGAGAGGACACGGGACAGCTCCAAGGAGATGGACAGTTTCCGAGAGCAGTTGAGCGGCCGCAGTGCAGAGTATGTGGAGGAGATACTCAGTCCGTACTTCGGAGGAGTGATGCAGTTTGTTAAGGAGGGAGAAGCGTTGGTGGAGAAGGGACAGGGTGATGCACTCAAGAAACAAGAAGGTATTAGAGTCCACAACTAAATTATTTCAATAGAATTAGATATTCCATTCTCATGTTAAAGTTGTAGCCTGTTTTATAATAAAAATTGACACAGTGGTATTGAGCCAAGAGTGTACTGATTGGAAATTATGGATTTCTGTTGAATTTTGCTAAATTTTCAACCAAGCCAAATTGATGAAAACTATTTTTAAACTATAGCATTTTATTATGTCACATCAACTACGGTATCCCAGTAGCAAAATCATAAGTAGGAAATAGAATTTCAAACTGTATAGCATTATGTAAGTCGCTTATTATACCTACTTTGAATGGTCGCCATTTCATCAAAAAGTATTAAGGTATTCAAATATGCTATTTTTTAAGTACAAATTTTATTATAGCTAGTCCATATAAATTGGTCATGTGATATGTCTGCTTCAGTATTCAAAATTCAATGATCTAACCTTAAGACAAAATTAAAAGTTATCCTTCTCAATTATGAAATTTAGAAACACAACCTATTATTCATTGGTCAGACTAGGTCGAGTATGACAATCATAATAATTACAGGCAAGGCTCTGCAGCTGGTCCAGTCATTCTCTAACACATGGAAGCGTTCTTTAGAGTTGATCAACCATGAGGTTCTGTCATCATTTCCCAGCCTTGTTACAGGCTCCACATTACTGCAGCTAGCCTTGACTCAGCTGGTACAGTATTACCATAGGTGAGTTTAAACAATGTATCTCACTTTATTCTACAACATTAAATACACCTCCTTCAAAATTATTAGTGATTGCTAAAACACCAATAACTGTACTTTAAATACTTTGGTATGTCATATCAGTAGAGCTTTCAGTTTTCATTTATGTTTTTGAACTGGGACTATTTTTTATATTTTTTTATCGTTTACATCTAGATTTGATTTAATACATATTATTTTAAAATCACTAAGAAATAGTGTTGCCTCTCCAAACATCCAAACTCTATTATAGTTGTGGTGATTACCCGCTCAGGTTCTATCAGTTTGGAATCGTGTTGCAAATGCATTTAGAAAGTTGAACATAATCTTGGCTGTTAGATTTGTTAAATCATTTGGTATAAGTATCACGAGGTAATATGTGCGGAATGATTTCAGGTTCAGCAAGCTACTTACACCCAACACCAAAGCCCAGTTGACAAACATCCACCACATCATGGTGGAAATCAAAAAATACAAAACCAACTATTAATTCACAAGTTAGTTCTAGTGTGCAATACTTTTGTGATTTTAAAATCAATCTTCCAAACGTTCCATTTAAAGTATCATTGCTGTGTAAATATTCGTTTTATATACACCAATTTATGCTGTATTTTGTTTGTTGTTTTTCTTTTACACAATGTATATTTTTAATTGGTAGACTCCCTCTTACTGGACCTGTTTGTTTGGGACTGGTTAGTTAAACGACCACTTTGATTCACACATGGGTCGTTTTGTCCACAGTCATGTAACACACTGTTCATCTAGCAATTGAAAACTGCTGGTTTTGGAACAGTAACTGTTCATTAAGTACAGATTTATTGCTGTTTTCAATGTTTGGTGATGGAGGCTTAATGTAAGTTATGTTTTGAAAACACATCCATTAATTTGTCTTAACCTTTGATGTTGAGCATTGGTTTAAATTCTGACCAGGGTCCAACACAGCAGGGTGTTAATGAGAGTGAGTCTACTGTAGACTGCTATTATACGTTACAAGTTTAATATTAAATTGCTATTTTTAACTGTTGTTTTAATTTAGTCCCATTATCATTATCAATCGTTTAAGCAGAATCATCTTGCAATCTGTAAATGAATAAAAAAAAGTCAACTTTTTTGGTTCATCCTCACCTCGAACCATACAATCGAAAATTGAACCAGGTCTCTTACCACCACAATTATTGTCTTGAAACAAAACACTTTACAAAAGGAAATATATGTGCAAGTACAAGTCACAATGTATCTAAAATAGTTGAATACAAAAGTAAACCACATTACTTCACACAAAACTGGATAAATATTTACATTTTGCATTATTTAAAACCTTCCTCATTCCTCAATAACCCTTCACCCGCGGCTCTTCTCTGTAAGTTGTGACCAGTTGGTTGCTGAAGATGAATTCTTTTATGGATTTGAACAAGTAGACAAATACAATGAGAACTGGGAAGAACTGAGTCCAAGCAAGTCGCATAACTTGCCAAGTAGTTGGAGTGTATCTAACAGTAGTCTCTGGATACATGACTGTCACGTCAACCGTGAACGGCTCAGCATCCACACGTTTGGTGATCCAAGAAATGTAAACGTTTGTCAATCTTGTAGTCACTGAAAACAGTTTGCTTGTTAGATGGTAGGTTCTTGCATCACATATTTACATGTAAATTTCGTTAGAGGAAGTTGTTACACAAATTAGGCAGATTCAAGAGGTGTTGTGTAAAAAGAGTACCGCTCTTTTTTAGCGAATTTCCCCTATAGGGAATAAGCTATTACCGTAGTACTCATGGTAAGACCTGGACCCAGGACCGATTTACTTTTTCGTTTTGAGGTCCCTAGAGACCAAAAACACCATCCGTTCAAATTCAAATATATATATATTTATATATGTGTCCGTTAGCGCGATAACTCGAGCAAAAATCATCCGATTTTGATGAAATTTGGTACAAACGTGTAAACCTACGTTTATTCGAACGAGTTCGCGAACCAGTATGATCGGACTATGGGAACAGGGGTTTATGGGGGGTTTTGTGGGTCAAAATTTGGTTGTTCCCATTTTTTACCCTAAAAACTTAAAATTTAGCATTTTCTCTTTAAACCATTTTGTAGAGCTTAAAAAAAAAAAATAATTTAGTATATTGAAGCGTTATTATGCGCCTAATGGTTACAGAAAAAATTCCAAAAAACTGTAAATTTAAAATTCCCATGTTATTCTTATGGAGAATAAGTAAACTGTTGTAGTTTGCTTGTTTATGATCATATTTTGATCAAATTTGGGAAATGCATTCATTTCATACTAAATTATTAACATTTTACAAAAAAAAACACCTTTTTACCCTCCCTTTTGCAGCAAACCTAAGTACTCGTTAAACTAATGTTATTTAAATAGGGAATAAATGTGATATTTTTAAGGAGACATTTTAGTGTAAATCCAATCATAAAAAAAAAAAAAAAATGGTAATGGAAATTCGCTTAGTCTGCAGGTTTGCTGCGGCGGGGGTATTTAGGGTTGCCTGGGTTAGAAAGCGGCCAGCATAAAAAGTGTCTGGACTTGATGTTGGAGGGTGGGTCTTGTTAAACCTAGCTTCAGGCCATGTGACCGCTATGGGCCCTAGAGATATTTGCACCCACCTCCCTGTCTCTTAATTGCTGGGGAATTTGTGCCCCAAAACCTCTTGCTCAACTGAGCCCATTTATTAAAGTGGCCCTGCTCAGCTTGAAAACTACTACATTAGTACCGACTTTCTCAGTATCCCTATGCTCAACATCCCAGGAACCTATTGATATATAAATTAAAAAGCCAAGCAGGCCTACATTTCAAACTACTGTAAAGTAAAAAGAGTACAGTTTGAGATACGATTTTCATATGAGCCTCGACAAAAAGTTTAAGACTTTGCCTACTTCTTAAATTGCAATTCACCTATTAAAACAAGAATATTTCCTGAAAAGAAATAATATGGAATGCAAAAAATTGAGCTAATATCGCTCTCCCATGTTACTCACAATTTCTTTGAGCGTAGGCCATCAAAACATCGGACATGAGAAAAACATTATCATTGATATCCATCGGGACGACAGTTTTGTTGTATCGTAAGTCAAGACGTCGAGGATTCAGGGGCTGCCGCTGAACTAAACTGAGGTCTCCAATGACAGAGACGCCAGCGCCAGACACAGGAGAGCTGTGGTAGACATAAGCCGCACCCTCCAATTGTGCTCTACAGTAGCTCTGTAAACATGTGGACTCATACAATTCCCATCATCAAAAATCACCTATAGCTTCCTGTCTTGCCCGACATCAAACTACAACACAATTCCTGGATTTTCCTGTCATAAAATTTCACGTTAAATTTCCAGTTTATCCGATTATCAAAATTCAAGTGAAATTCCCAGTTTATTCAAGCCATTAAAATTTTCACATAGTTCCTGGTTTCCTTAGTCATTAAAATACACTTACAATGCCTAGCATTCCAGGTCATCACACTTAATGTACAATTCTTTGTTCCCCCATCATCAAACTTCACATTTTATTTTGTTTTGCAGTTCATTAAAGTTCTTGAACGATATCCTGGTTTCCTGGATATGGTTTTGTTTTTGCAAATTTTAAATCTGTTGATAAGTAACATTTTTATCAAATTCTATTACATATCTAATTATTGCATTGGCTCCCTCTTTCACAATATGAATTTTGCATAAATTTCACTAATTGCAGCGCTTAAGTTTTTCATAACTTATTTATCACAATGTACTAGCAGTATTATGCACGAGGAAGAAATGCTCCTAAGTGTCAAAATGATTTAACAATAGTCCTAGCTATGAGGTTTCTGGGTTAAACAGTTTTGCATAAAATGTTTAGCCTACTTTGTTCCCAAATAAAGAAAAATACAGGTTGATTATAAAAGAAGTGAACTACGTTATAAATCTATACACTATTTTTCACATAAATCAGTGTATTTTATACCAATAAATAGTAAAATACCTCAAGTTTTGTTTGGAAAATCTGATTGTCAACACTATTCATACATGGCAAAGTTTAGTGTTTATAAGAAGAAAATAGTACTAAATTTTTTGAGAAATTTTGTGTGTGTTCAGGCTAGGCTTTTGGAAGGATCCGATCAACTATACTTTTGTTCAATGTTTATTTAGAACATATAAAATCGCCGGTATGATGAAGTCCCTCTTAATAGGAAGTCTATCTACAATGCCATTGATCGGTGGTTTAGCATTCTAGGTTGCTTGAACAAAGAAAAGAACTTTGGGTTGCCTGTAACTGATGCTCCATGGTGAGTTAGTTTTTTTTTTTTATATGTAGCCACAACAAGGGAATAAGTACATATCAAAACATTCCAATCTTCGGGAATAAGTGAATTTATCCAAAGAAGTCGAATCGGAAGTTTGAATTGAGCATCAAATTCCTCAATCCACAGTTTGCATGATTGTGAGGAGACAGCTTAAAATATCTTCATACAAGCAATTATTGGCACCGTCTTAATATGAGTATTTTTATGTGATTTTTTTTCTGGACTGACTGTTCACTTGATAAAAACAACCCAATTTTGCATCGGTTATCCGCGTAGCCCAGATTTTACTAAATTTCGAGTGAGTATAAAGAAATGGATAAAGAGTTAGTACCGCCTCTTTCATTAAATCCCTAGTGGCTAAGAAAGAGGATGGCTATCGATGAGAGGATTGCCTATCTTCCACAGAGTTCGGTTTGGATGTACCTACTTTCTAAAAATTAAAGCTGCATTCTCGTCACAGCTAAATCATAGCTGTATTTTACCAACAAAGTTGTTTATTTATTTTTAAATCACTCTGTATTACCTAAGTATATATTATATTTACTGAAGCAACTTACTGAAAGTTTGTAGTCAAACATCAACATAATCGATAATCCATTAACATGTGAACCTGGTGGAAGAAACAGTTTGGTTTCAAATTTCAGAAGATCGTTAAATCCATCTGCATTAATGTCTTCTTCATATGCCTAATAAAATACATAAACTGTTAGTTACATTACAAAATTACATACAGTGTTTTAATTATGTAGGTACTAGCAGTAACCCGCGGGCTTTGCCCCGTTTAACTTCTTAATTTTCAAGATTATCTCGTTCGCACGTCCTAGTTGAAGGTTGTTCGCTACGCTCACTCACCTTTAGGTTGGAGCTCGTTCGCTACGCTCACTCACCCTTAGGTTGGAGCTCGTTCGCTGCGCTCACTTGCCTTCAGGTTAGCTCGTTCGCTACGCTAACTCGCCTCCAGGTTGAAGTTCGTTCGCTACGCTCACTCACCTTTTTGTTGCAAATTAGCTGTTGTCATAAATTTAAAAGAAATAATAGTGCTGCACCCTGTTGGTAATCCTTGTAACTTTAATGCTATTGAAACTCATAGAACAGAACCAACTTGTTTAATTGAAACAGCTGTTAAGATTCAATAATTCCATTTCTCATAAGGGTAACATGGGAAACTCCAGAGCCACTGGGGCGGAGCCCAAAAAGATTTTTGAAATAAGAATATGCCTATATGTTAATCGGGAATGTGAGCTATCATCGTGCCAAATTTCAGCCCAATCCGACCAGTATTTTTCGCGTTCACTTGTCACAAACATACATCCATACATCCATACATCCAAACTTTCTCATTTATAATATTAGTAGGATATAATATAATTTAAGAGTACTAAGCTAAGATGTTCTTTTCACAAAAATACCTCATTATTTATGAACTTTATTGCACAAATATTGTTTTATGTATTGAAATAGGCATTTAGGTTTTTATTAGTTAAGTGTATTCCGTTAACACAAGCTATGTAGTCGTGCTAACTTTGGAGTGGTGAGGAGTGTAAACAAGTTGGTCAAAAGTATACCTATGTATGTAATCGCCTTTTTAGCCATCTGTCAGAGAAAATGTATATTGTACGTAACATACCTTAAGGTTCAGAGAAAAATGTACGTATTTCTGGGACAATGATTTTCTACTTGAAAAAGATAAAATAAGATCTTGTTTTCTTGTTATAGGTAGGAACAGTACTTGTTTTTAGAACCTTATTCTGTCTTATGTTAGGTGGAGCTATATTGTACAAAGCTTTGATACTTTACTTTGAAATGGCAAAGAAAGGTAAAGTTTGCATTAAACTTAAAACTTATTACCGGGATATATTTAAAATTATTATTCTTCTTACCTTGATAAATGGACAATGGTTGTGGTTTCTTGTCATTAGGGTTAACCTCTCAAGGTTGGAACACAAAAATATCCCATCGTCCGATCTTTTGCCAGATGACTTTAAGACATCAAAAAATATCACATAATCGTACAAGAAATTAACCTTAGGTTGTTCCTGGTAAGTGTCTGTCCTCTGCCAGAAGCCTGAAAAATATTAATAAACTATGATTTTGTAAAATGTAAGTTAGGCTAATATAATGTCAATTAACATCATAAAATTGTATTATTTATTCACAGAAAAATCACAATTTTTACAATCAATTACATGCATTTAACAATTTGTGGATTATTTGGCTAATGCTATTCATGCAGTGAGTTTAACATCATGCTATATGGTCATGCTTTATGAATACACTAGCTGATACCCGCGGGCTTTGCCTCGTTTGACTTCATGAATGATCACTAATAAACCTTTAAGTACATCAACGACCCCTCACAATATCACATTATCAGATCACAAGCTGTGATCTGAGCAAAGCTGGACTCTGAGATGTGTAGGCCACTTCAGCAGCCATAACGTTTTTATACCCCACTTTCCCGGAGGCATATCGTTTTTTTGAGTGGCCTGATTAGATTGTGGCATTCTGAGCAAGCTACAGTTTCACAAAATTTGTTGTCCACCATCATCAGGAAGACTTAATCTCCTAACTGTGCCTTACCATTTCCATTGACGTTTTGCTTATTCCCTCCATAAACGGGTCGTGGGGAGTCCTGGAGTCGGTCAATTGGCAGGAACTTAGATGACAGTCTTAGTTCCGTCAGATTTAGTGGTGGGAATGAAGTTAGTGGTTAAAATAACCTAATCAATCGGATATTGAAGCAGAACAGACTAATTCGGTTATTTTATCCTGATTCGGTTAAAATTAGTCTTCCCCGTACCGAGCGATTCGGTGATTTAGTTATTTAGTTGATTTAGTTTGCCACATCATCAGGTAGGCTAACTAAAATTTATTCAGCGATTCGTTCGACTTAAAAGCACCGATTGACGCTAAATGACTAAATGCTATATAGATGAAAATTAGTTGTGGTTTGGGACAGTAATAATGACTAAAATTGATTCGGTAATTCATTCAACTAAAAATAACCGATTGACGCAAAAAATAACTGATTGATTATTCGGCCATGGAAACCATTTGGTTATCACATCACTAAACATTTTAGTTAGGCCTATAGAAGAAATCTTTACAGTACTCGGTAAGTATTTAGTAAAATTGCAAATATTTGTCTACAACAATTAAGTTACTTGATACTTGAGCACTGCATCGGTGACCGACAATGTCGGAATAGATTGCGTCAAGATCGTTAGGCTATGCACCTTTGAAATGTTATGAAATACCATAAGAGTTATAAGTATTATTTACTTACCGTGACTTTTGTAGGTAAATATCAGAGGAAATATCACTGTCATTACGGATAGTATAACAAGAACAACAGTAGCTTTAGAGCAAACATACGTTTTGTAGTTGTAGCAAATACATGAACTAAACACATTGTACACAGCCATTTTCAACAGAACATCAATCAAAATTCTGTACCTATCACTTTTGCTGATCCACCCAAAAGTATGGTAAAAATATTTAGTAGTTCAAAGTTGCACAGACTAATTACAGTATATTGGTCCCTTTCTAACCCCTTTCCAACCAACCATCTTAATTTGATTATGTCGAGATAAACCTTTCAAAATGTATTTTAATAAAAAGTTCAGAGAAAAAGTATTTTTTACAAAATTAAAATTACGTTAAAGTGTTGTATAGTACGGTATCTGAGAACTGAGAGGGGATTATGTACGTTGTGTTATGTTTTGTATGTTAAAATGTTTTTGTTTGTTTATAAAGTCAAATCGTTATAAACACTGGCTGGTTGTCATGGCAACGAAAAACTACATGAGTACACCATACCAAGTATCACCAAAGCATTATTGCTCCCGTGGTGTTGCACGCAGAGAGCATAGAATCTATTCTGCGCTCCTGGTTGCATAACGAGTCCATGCAACCACAGAAGAAATTAATAACAAGATAAATAAAAAATCATTACGCAAGTAGACGCATGGTTAATGCCAAGTCAGGTGTTAGGCACAAGAAGAAAAAAAAATCTAATCTTTTCCAAAGTGCCAATATGGAGTGCCTTACTTTGATTCTTGGTGGCATAGTCTATATAATATTTATGTTTTTATCTATAAACGTCAGCAGCTAAAGCGACCCTGGAGAGTACAGCCACGGCCACCTTTAACTTCAAGGTGGCCGTGGTACAGCGGTTTTCATTTTGTTTTGGTGTGGAAACAGGGAATGGAATAGGGGGGGGTCGCATTCCGGACGGGCTCACGGGAGCCATCATGATAAAATTTGTTTCAATTTATAGTTAAAATAATTATAAAATTTGTTTAGTATAGCGACCACAACCTTCGTAACAGAGACCAGCTCCACATACCTTACTGCAGGCTGTCCAAAACGCAAAGCTTTTTCCGCATCAGGGCTCTGAAGATGTACAACAGTCTCCCCCAAAGATTTAAGTCTTGTGAACCGTCCACTTTTAAAAAGAAAGTTAAAGCCTGGCTAGTCGACCGTCCACTGTACTCAGTTGACGAGTATTTTGATGCGTTCCATCGAGTATAGGCTCAACGCCATCTTGCCAAAAGTATTGTAAATAGTGTAAATATTATTTTTTAGTTTATGACACAGTCTATCCAGAAATTCTGGTCAACGACGTCACAGCAGGTATTAAGGTATTATAAAATCAAACTGTCATAACCTTAACCTAACCAAACTTGTGATGGTGAATGAAGTAATCTAATCGAAAAAATAGTTCCTTTTATAAAATTAAATTATAAATGCCTCTAATTCTAACAAAAGATGCACTGTTAACAAGTAATCGCATCCTAAGCTAAATCTTTGGCAAAAAGTTCGTGTTTCAAGAGTGGGATGCATAATTTTTATTCTAGCTGCGGTTTTTTCATACAAACAAAATCAGTCAAAAAAATAAAAAATAAATTTAATAATTTTTTTATTATAAAACTAAGAAAACAATGAAATTAATTTTATATATTTGTTTACTATAAAATTAAACTGTCATTACAGAACATACCAACCAAACTTGCTGGTAATGAAAAAAAACTAATGATTAATGGAGGTTTACTAATCGAAAAAAATTGTTCTGTTCATAAAATGAAATTATAAATGCCTGAAATTCAAAATATGTACAGTTAAGAAGTAATCGCATTCTAAGCTAAATCTTTGAGAAAAAGTTTGTGCCCACGCCCACGGTGGGATTCGATCTTGGTACCATCAAATCATCAGCCTGATACGTTAACCACTACACACTATCAACACCGATAGACTCAAAAAGTATCGTTGAGTCTGCAAAAATCGTGATCCCACGCACGAGAGAAGAGACCGAAGTCACGCCATGAGGCACGGCCGCCTCTCGTAGGGGCCAATAGAATTGTGCGTCATGGAGCGCCCCGTGAGTCTTGCGTAAACTGGACCCCCGGGATGGGGGACTGTTTGGTATTGGATTGGATTAGGTTGGGAGTTGGGAGTTGTTGTTGTGACACAGACTAACGTCAAAGTTAATGTCAAAGTCAATTTTCAAGTAGTAGATGCGTAAATAAGCTAATTTTGCTGTAAAGAGAAAAATCAAGAGTGTAAAGTAAATTTTTATTCTGAATCGTTAATAGTTGAGCGTTAACATTATGACTGTGATAACAAAACCTCTGAGTGAAAAGAAAGGGGATAAGCTTGATCAACCGCTCGTAGTTGCAGAATGTTTGGTATGTTAAAACTCTTTATTATGCTTGGACTATTGTCTAAATTACAAGATTAAATGTTTAGCTGTTTAAGGCCTATATGGGTTGCCTCGGGTACCTAGTTTTGAATTTAGTAGGAAAATGTAGTCATATATTTTACGAGGGGGGATTAGATTTAGGCTTTAAACTTGAGCTTGCCAGTTTATTAAAAATCTGAAATGGGCTAAATTTAAACGTGAGAAAAGATCAAAGGCAAACTATTCTTTACAGTAACTGGTTCTGAATAGGAATATAAGTCTTAAATAATTGAAATTTGCTATTTTCATGGTTTGATATACCTACAGATTTCAAGCTAATTTGTGGACCCTTAATTTTTTTTCCTAGGACGCTAGGCACGAGCTGGAATTGTTTTTCACATTATACTTCAGGCTGGACCTAAGGGTTAGGCCTAGCCTACGGCATTATCACTTAGATAAAATCCATTGGTGATTTGGCGGGATTTCAACCCGGGACCCCAGGAACCGGAGTCCCACGCTCTAACCACTAGACCAGATCACTCCCCCTGTGTGGACCCTTATAGCTACTGTAAAAGTTAGCTAGCCTCTATTTTCTATACATACTCCCCCCACCCCGCCTTTAGCTAGTCTACTCATGGAAATCCCAGCTCCAAGCTGATGGCTGCACTTAAGTAGGCCTATCTGTCCTACACTCATTCGAATAAAAAATATCGATATATAGACTATTCAATAAATCTATTAAAGTAGAACCTCGATAAACTTACTTCGACACTTTGTAGACTTAAGGGCGTGTCGAACTATAGGGAGTAACTTTTATAGAGTTTAATATACAGGAAAGTAAAAATATAGGCTCAAAAATAAGCACAAAAAATGGCTTTAAAAGTTAAAACATTTATGGGCCTTATGGGCTGTTATACTAGTAGGCCTATTATAAAAATAGAAACAACAGTATTCAATACCTTACATTGACAAATCTTTTTATTCATTTTATCCCTTGTTTCCACTTAAATATAAATGGAAAAACTGTGAATTTTGGTACTAAAGAGATGCTTAAGTGCAGCCAAGCTGATTACACCAACCAAGGAAACAGCAGTGGCGGATCCAGAGGAGGGGTGAAGGGGGCCACCGCGCACCCCTAGGGCATACAAATACATATATTTTTTACTAGTAATACAGTAGTGCATACACATTGCGTAAAATAATTTGTCACACGAACTTTGGACAAAGAAATGGTATGAAACTGCCAATTTGGAGACTTGTTTACACCAATTTTTCGGGCCCCCGAACAAGGCAGACCCCCTTGCAACTGTTCTAGATCCGCCACTGGGAAACAGGGTTGGATTCAAAAATTGAAACCCTGTTAGAGGCCTATATCCTATTGAACATAATATTTGCTGTCCTGATGGGCAGCTGCAGTTCCGTATAGAGCCTACGACATATTATTGAATGAATAACAATATAGGTACAGTAGGCTAAGTTATATTGAAACTTGTTCGGTTCTATATATCGGATTGAATAATATATATATTGATAGGGATAGTCCTAATAACTATATTGATAATAATAAAATATATTTTTATTGTAAACATCAATTTCAAAATTGTTTAGTTTACATTTTTATTAATATTTGATCATACGCCTAACTCTAAAAAACAAAAACACAATTTATTAAGTTATACATGTAGATATAAAGTCAGTGGTTATACCAACACATTATATTAAGTAAATTAACAAAAACAATAACCAAAATTTAAATTAACGATAAAATATTAACTTAAAAGTTATATAAGAAGTATGGTGAAGTTATAAGAAATATAAACCAAAAGGTGATTCTAGTGCTTGTTTAGTTTTGAAGATTTTTGGCATCCAAACAATTAAGTACCTGGTTTTCGCCTTTTATTCTGGTCTTCATCTTGTCTCCTAATAACTTATTTTGCATTTAGTTACCTTAGTTATGCTTAGCTTATTGTACGGTAGGCTACCTTAGTTAGCTTGTTTTGGAATCAAACATTTTTCTGAAAATCAACGCAATTTTCAATAGGCCTAGTATTGTTGATGTGGTAAGCGTAAAATATCTAAAATTCACAGTTTCTTCCATTTTTAGTTAAGTGGAAACAAGGGATGAAATGAATAAAAAGATTTGTCAATGTTATTGAATACTGTTGTTTCTATTTTTATCATACTAGTATAACAACTCATAAGGTCCCACAGAGCATAGAATAAATTATAGAGTCGCCACTCCTATACCTACAGCTATACCAGTAGTAAAGCCGATTTCTGCCATCTTGGTAAGAGAGTCGGGCTCGGAACTTGGAAAACACGGCGTCATTACCACTGTGTTATTCTATGCTACTTTATGAATTAGATGAAGCTACCGCTCCAATGATACATATAGAACTATCCCCCCTTCGATATTGACCTAGGACTCTGCCCTGTGGGCTTTCAAAGTTCTGAGGTGAGAGTTTTAAAAGTAAATATTGATTGGTGGTTTCGATGGTAACAATATAATGGTTTAAATGTAAATGCAGACCGGGCCGGCCGCCATCTTGGTACGAGAAGCCTGCTTCACACCAGACGGCAAGTGCAGCCTCTATTTTTATTCTATGCTCTGTGTAAGGCCCATAAATGTTTTAACTTTTAAAGCCATTTTTGGTGCTTATTTTTGAGCCTATATTTAAATTGATAAAGGGATTCTGCACATCACCTGCCAAAGGAACTGCAGTATAAACTACAGTAGCCTATCATTAAATATTATTCAAAAATATTGTCAACACTAAGGTCCCCTAAAAGAGACATTGTAATCCTAGCAAAATTGTGTTCTTCATCATTCATTCAAATTCAACAAGAGTTGATAGGAAATTAATTTTAAGTTTGTTAAGGGAGGATGACACTGATTGCACGATTCGTGCATTGGCCCACTTTATGTGTCAATAATTCATACTTCTGTATTTTGTGATCATTTAAAGATTTAAATTAAGAAAATGTTTTAGAAAATTAAGGTAAGTTAGTGAATAGAAATAAATGTTGTTCAAATTACCATTGTTTTATCGTTAGAGCCCCATTGCAATTCTTGAAATACAGTAACAAACTTTTTACCTTTGTACTAAAAGATAAACACAGGTAAAGGTGTAATTATTGCAAGTACTGTAGGTTTTAGTGCACAAGAATGTAAACCCATCCAGATAGTCATTTCATCTAAGTATGACACAACTTATTTAAGATGTGTGGCAGCTGTGATGAAAGTTTGTATTCTTCATCATAAACTGTGTTGATGGATAAACTGTTATAAAAGTAACTTTGTTTTCAAAGATACCCATATTTTTATTGACAATTTCTACTCTGACTTAATGTTATCAAGAATTGCAGTCACTTGATACTAAAATTGTTGATAAATGGTTATCAGTTGAAGGATTAGATAAGACATGAGTTGCTTTTCAGTTAATAGTGGTAAATAACCATTCACTATGTATCTGTATTATAAAGTAGATATACAGTATATCCAGTAGACATTTAATCAATCATATAACTTAACACTAAAAAAAACTTTTTGCCAATGTACAGAAATCACATAGAAGTAACAAGTAAATTATAGAAAAATATGTTGTCTGTTAAATTTAAATTTTGAGGTGGTCTATGCTTCAGTGCAAGTTTTGCACACCGCCGTAAAATAGTGATAAATAATATTGCTAAGGTCACTCTCGTGGAAATTAACTCATTTTTGCATGATTAAAATGTTGTAAATAGCCCGCCGCAGCAAACTTGCCATCTAAGCGAATTTCCATTTGTCTGAATTGATTTTCAATTAAATCTATTTAAATAACAATAGGTTTTACAAGTTTGCTGCTACAAGGAAACTAATAAAGTGTATTTTTTAGTAAAATATAATAGCAACGTAAATACATTTTCCAAGTTTGATCCACATATATCCATAAACAAGCAAACTACAGTACAACATCTTACAAAATTCTTCATAAGAATAACATAGGAATTTTAAATTATAATTTTTTTTTCTCCATAACCAATAACCGTACAAAAACACTTTGATATACTAACTTATTTGTTTTTTAAGGTCTTTAAAAAGGTCTAGAAAGAAATTGGGAAATTTTGTGTTTTGAGGGTTCAAAAATTAGAAAAACCATCATTTATCTCTTAAACATTAATGTTATTTAAATAGGAAATAAATCTGACGATTTTAAGGGAATACTTTAGTCCAGCCAGGGAAATGGGAATTCTGCAGTTTTGCTGTGGCGGGGGTATCTTTTTAATTTTAATAAGTTAAAAGAAAAAGTTGGAATAAAATCAATAATTAATTCAATTTGGTAATTAGCTTTACCGTAGGTGGTATGGTAAGACCTAGGCCCGGGACAAATTTACTTTTTCATTTTGATGTCCCCAGAGGCCAAAAACAATATTCGTTCAAAGTTTTATATATGTATAGCCTATATAATATATATATGTGTCCGTGAACGTGATAACTAAAGTAATTTTTGTCCGATTTTGATGAAATTTGGTTTGAAGGTGTAAAGCGGGATAAACTTGAATAAATTCACGAACCAGCATGATCGGACCATGGGAACGGGGTTTTATGGGGGATTTTATAGGGTAAAAATTGGTTTTTCTAATTTTTGACCCTCTAAACACAAAATTTCCCAATTTCTCTCCAGACCTTTTTAAAGAACTTAAAAAAACAAATAATTTGGTATATCAAAGTGTTTTTGTACAATTATTGGTTACGGAGAAAATTCAAAAAATTGTTATTTTAAAATTCCCATGTTATTCTTATGGAGAATATTGTAAAATGTTGTAGTTTGCTTGTTTATGGATATATTTTGATCAAATTTGGTACATTTATTTATTTTAGGCCTATACTAAGTTATTAATATTTTACTAAAAAACACACTTTTTTACCCTCCCTGTAGCAGCAAGCACTCATAAAGCCTAATGTTAATTAAATACATTTAATTGAAAATCAATTCAGGCCACTGGAAATTCGCTTAGTCGGTAGGTTTGCTGCGGCAAGGGTATTTTAAATGTTTCAATGTCTGTTTTTGTACTTTTCGTAATTTTGCTTGTGCTGTATTGTGTTTACCCTTCATGAAGATGTCTACAACTGATCAACTCTACAAGTACCTAAAGCTGACGATGGTGTTTTAACATCAAAACATTAACTCATTTGATAAACATTTCTTATGCTGTGATGGGATTACGTAAGTAATTTAGTCTTGCATTAAAATGTTATTGCAATTTTTGTGACCTTCCCCTATTTGCTGATACTGTTTATTTAACCGAGTGATTCTGTGCTGTAGCCCCATCGAGATGTGGAGACTGGGCCGGCAGAACCCACTGTAGACCCTCGTGTGTTGGTGTTGCGCGCTCGCGCACGCCGTGCGTCCTCCGTCACCACTGCGTGTCTGTTCATGATGGCGTTGCTCGTCTTGTGCTGCGGCATCCTCGGTGGCCTCTACATCTACAAGCAGTTCGTTTTCTCCCAGGTTTGTTATCATGGTCGTTACTTTAATAAGTGAACATGGGTTGCTTGTTTTTGTTTTAAATAAATCGTAATTAATTTGAGTAATTGGTGTTTCAAGTCTGATCAATGGATACGGGCCAATTTAAAATATGAAGAAAGACCGTTTGATTGTAATTTTAAATATAGGCTACGGAGGAATGCAAAAAAGAAATTTAATGTTGAATATAATTAATAATACAAAAAAAATATATTTAGCTTCTTTACTGTTCAATGCTAGTTTAGTTTTCCAACCTCCAAATTGATAGACCAATAACATTGATGACTGGCTACAGAGTTAATTTGATAATTAGATTTTTTACCTAATTTTTGTTGGATACTTTAATTCACATACATTTAGATGTTGATGCTACTCCTCTGATAGTTATCAAAACTTTTTCATCTCAATTTTCATGTAGGTATACAAAATAAAATTGATGTAAATTTCAGCTAAAGTACAATCAATTTAGTCTTCTTGTTCTTTCATTAAAATAAATGTGAATGTACAACTTTCTATAGTAGGTACTCCTTTGTTTTATAGTATAAAAAAAATCCTATGAAACTTAGTAGCATGACGATTAACTGTTCCAATAGTCACACTGATGTCAGCTGTGTAGAGACATTTAAGTTTACGCCTCATTGATCTGGAGCTGAGCATTGATCTAAATCAACCTGTATCCAGATTTCCAACGTTTCTCCTACTTCCAAACAATTGGCATTACAATAAACTTTGTTTTAAATGTGTTGGAAAAATTTGGTAGAATTTCCAATAAAATATGTTCATGTTATTGCTGTCGTTCATGATTAATTGAATGGGGATTTTTGCTCAATGGTGCAAAATGGTTTACCAACCATATGATGCAAAGTTGGGTTTCAATCAATCAATAGTATACCTATTTTAATGTTGGGTTTTCACTCAATGATATATTTATTTGCAATGATAGGGGTTTTACCCAATGGTTAATGGTACCCTATTTTCAGATGCTGTAATTGTTTAATGCTGTAAAATTTATCCAATATCCAAATGTTTATCAATTGCGCAAGAATTGATTTTAGAAGTCCTTTTACATATTTATAAAGTTTTGTTGTGATTTTGATAAGATAATTTTAGCTGATGATAGTTAATTTTTAAAGTAGGCTAACTTAATAGTTTTTATGATTACTGTACATGTTCTAGATATTGATAAAAGTTATTTTGGGGCGAATTATCCCAAAAGAACCTTTTAAAGATATTTAGGCCTATTTATTCCTTAGATAAGGACATGTCAGAATTTCTCTAATGGACCATTTAATTCCTTTGTCGAAGAGTGCCAACAAATTTAATGCTTAAGTCTTTAAGAAAACAACTTGAATACATATGAAAGTTTACTCAAAAATTTGTTATGAGGTTTGGAAGGGATTTTTGTACCACTTTGTTTAGTTGCAGTAATTTCATTAGTGATATATTAAACATACATCCATAAAAGATTTTTATCCTTATAGTACTGTTGAAATTATTTTAGGGTTAAATGCCTTTGTATTTATTAACTTACGATTATTGAAATTCCAAAGTGCACAGCACAAATTGTAGAATTCAACCTAAAACAAGTGAGAAAAAATTTAGTTACCATGTATTCAAATATAGCCTAACTGACATGAAGTGTACATCAAAACAGGCTTTAGCTTTTTCTAATAAGATGCAATGTATTTAGTACCCTTAAAAGTTAATGCCCGAGTCTAACAGATAGTTTGATTGACAGATGCATCGCCTGAGAGGCAGGTGCCGCATCCCGTACGTAGACATGGAGAAGTTTGATGAGGACCCTTACTTCTCAGACAGCACCAAGATGAACCTGGAGGTTGGTGGTTTTATCATATCTACTGGAGCTAATCAGGGTACCCACTTGATCATGAAAACCTTCAAAAGTGTGAATTCTGTTAGAAGTTGAAGAACCTGGGCATTAAGCCATGCATTTTTTATTTAACCTTTAGAATAGGGATGTGTTAATTCCAATTCTTAATTGCATAAAATGTTTGGGGAATGTCAATTCTTGATATTTCCATGTCTTTTTATTCAATGCCGGTCAATCCCAGGATCTCCTGCGATTGCAGTGAAATCAATGTCACCTATTGCTAACACTGTGGCCATCTCCTGCCAGCTATCCTCCTCAGTGATCAAGAATATTCGACTACGCATACCTTGCAGACGGCTTCCACAATCGCTTAATTGTTTTTAGATTCCTGTCCCAACAGAATACATTGACAAATAAATTTCGCAGAATGTTAGGGGCTACCACATCTTTAATTTCTAATTGTAAAGGAAAAAAAAGAAAACTCTACTCTCATATATTTAAATATTATATTTAAATATATCTACTCCTTGCAATGCTCTCAAAGTGAATTCTTTACAAATCTTGGTTGCCCCTGGGTTGGAAGAACTTGGAAAGTAAATGTACAAATCAGAGCTTTGGCAGTGGAAGCTTGGTGTTAAATAAATATTAGAGTGGGCCCTGAAAAATAAAAATACTCCCCAAAGGTCCTTATGGGACGTCCTTGGTACTGTTTGAAGTTCTTCCAGACTGCAATACCTTTGTAATAATAATACCAATCTTAAATCTACACTGAATTTAACCTGCTCACTACCACACTGATATTTAGTGTTGCACTTAAAAGGTGAATCTTTTGTAGTGGCCTATGATTTATTGAATTACCTTCTGTTTACCAATTAGATATTATTGCATATACTGAATTACCAAGGTTATTGAGAACTAAAAAGTGAGTAACAATTTGATTTATTGTACAGTATTTACTTAGCACAATGATTACAATTGGAAGTTACTGATTCTGTTTATGTAAGACAAAATAACCATTGAGCGACACAATCAATTAGAATTCCTGTGTTTGAGAATGTTGAATGAATTTATCAAAAGGGAAGATTCGGCGCGGCTACACACCGATCTCGAAGGTGTCAACGAAAGAGTGGTATTTAATTTAATTTGAGATGACCAGTGCCAAGCAAGTCCTGTTCGTTGGCCAACGATGTAAATATGAAGGTCGATTCTCGAAGGTCAACTGATTAAACAGTATTGCGTTTAGTCGTAGTAATGCTTATTGGAACGTCGCTTATTGTTTTATGGCTTATTTGGCACTTTGGCGGTTCATCTATATGCAAACTGGCACAACCTCCGATAACACTTCCGGATTCAGCCGAACCAGCTACCTACTCCCTCCTTTGATATTAATTTGATTCCCCCAAATTTAAATACTGATTGTGACACTCTTTAACGAATTGTACCTTTAATAATGACTCTGTGTAAAATTCCAATACTATAAAAATATTACAAAGCAACTCTGAATTACCCTATAAAAACATTTTCATCTATTTATTCTTAATACTATTGGATTATCACAGTCTAATAAATAAAGCGGATTGTTACAATATGAATGGATATACAAATCAGCAAATTGAGATCGAACCTGTGAACATGTGCTTATTCTACATGAATTAACAAAACAAGACAGGAAAAATTTGCAAAGTGCGACTCACTGAATTTTCAATATATATACCAAATAAATGACACAGATTACTTACTGTTTTGGACGTCCACAAATATGACACAAATAAGGGGATAAGGATGAGGAAATGTACCTAGTCGGTATTCTAATACAAACGCGATCAATTGAAACTCGTGTGACGATTGTGAAATTTTCAAATACGGACTGCGTTGGCCGGTTAACGAACTTTTGAGAATTTTGAGAAATTTGAAGAAATTTGAAGATTGCCCGACCAAACGCCGCGAGATGAATTTAATTTGCACGAACGAAGAAAAGTTTTACCGAACTAGATACGTTGAGAGTTGGAGAGGAACAGACCACACAGATACGCTGGTTGCTGGCGGCTCGCTGCATTCCCCTACCACTTTGTGTTTGGAATTCTGGGTAATTGATCAGCTGACTTTTTGTTTTCGTCTGCTACACGTTAATTCGTTGTTTATACGACGAAATCGGTACATAATATAGCCTACACTTAAATTTTAAATGTATAAACTATAGTCATATATGAGTCATACGTTTAACTTTCCAAAATTTTAGGCCCACTGTTAATAATTAAATATACCTTTCTTTAGAGTAATTATTCAAAAACAGATTAATTTATTTCATTGATTATCCTAACTTAGTCCGCAATTAAATTGCATATTATTGGGCTTGCAGCTGGCAACATCGCTGCTTACCTATGTGCTCCACTTGTCTTTGAGATTCGCTTTAATAAATATCCAGGGTTTAAAATAATTAAGTCAACCCAAAAAGGCCAGAATTTTATTTTCAACTCAACCGCAGGAAATCTATATAATATTAAAACGAAACAGTGTTTTTTTATTTCACGATTCTGAATCAACCACTCGACGGATTTTCGTGATTTTTGTGTTGAAAGAAAGATAATTTTGAGAACTAGGGAATGTCGAAGCCATAATTTTAGTTTAGGGTCCCAGTTTTTTTAGAAATTAAGTTTTAATTTTTAAAAAGTCTAGCAGCCGACGCTAAGATTCTAAACTAGCTTTTGGCATAAAATAATTTGCTTAACATAACAGCTGTAAACATTCAGCTTTTGTGTCACAAATTCAGCATATGGATAAAAATGTAAAGACATACTTAGGGTTGACTTATTTATACTATGTGTAATGCTAATCATTGATACGTTCAATTCTTCTGTAAGAGGATGACAGATTATTTAAATATACATAGTAAAATACTAGGATGTTTAAAGGATTTTTTAAATAAATCTTTGTAATCTTCGGTTTGTTTTAGTGCAATGTAATTTTATTTTAACAGCTGGTTAAATATAAAAATGCTCTATAAAACTATGAGGTTATTTTATTTACTCTGATTTTGTCATTGGTTATAGGAAATAAGTCAGATTAGTAGACCACCGAGATAAGTAACACCATCGATGTATACAAGTCGAGGCTCTGTACATGAGTCTTAAAAAGAGGATATCCCTATTAATTTACTGCTCAACTTTTTTAGGAAAAGGTAGGAAAATCCATTTTTTACAAGTTTTAATTCATCTTGGTTTGTTTACAATCAATCAATCAATATTTTTCAATGCTTATACTTTGTTTGGATTAGGCCCGGAAATATTTATGTCATAAAGAAGGAGATCAAGAATCTTCAGGAATATGTTTTTAAATTACCACCACAACCTCAGACGGGTTTTATCCAAAGATAGATGAACAAAAGAATATATGAACAAAGATATATAGATTGACCTAGGATACTGCAATTAGAATAACCATCCTTTTATGAAATCTAAAAAGTTGTTTGGCGTGTGTTTAGTTGTGGTTAAGTTTGGAGGCTTTGAATATTTTATAGTTTAAATAAATGAATATGGGGAATTACGGTGTGCATTGATTCAATGAGGGTGGTTTAATTATTAAGGATAGAACTGATAACGGAATGGATAATAAACATAGACAATTGATTACGTCACTAGCTTTACTAGCGTGTTTACGTTTTAAATTCCTTCAACATGTGACCAGTTCTTTTGTTCAAATGAATATTATTTTATTTTTGACTCAGCTGTGTACAAAAACAAACTATATGACTATATGTTGTTGTTTTTACTTTTCTTTGTTTACACTTATTTATTTAGCAATTGATGCAGTGAAATTGATATGTGAGGATGATTCGTTTAATGATGTCAGGACACCAACGTTATAATTGTGTGTACTGTGAATTTTATTGAATGTTTACGTTTTATTTTAGGGAGTTTCTATTCAGACCTACTGGAAGTTGTTTATAGTATGAGTAATTGTATTGTGGTGATATTGATTATGGAAGAGGCAGGTATGCGATGGAATTGGAAGGTGATATTGTTGACTAGGCCTATACACTTCTCAATTGATAATTACTCTTTCTTCTGTAGGCTGCAATAAAATTTGTCTTTATACGTGTAAGCTAGCTGTTCTGAATTATACACAGTTTTAACTCACTACTCCCGTACGTAGGACGGGCTAACACCTCGTTAAGCTTTAAAATCATTTATGCTGTACAATTCTCTAAAGAGCTGTCTCTTAAACTAAGTGATGGTTGCAGATGCCACGACCTAAAGCTACCAAGAGTCGCTTCTTGAATGAGGAGTTTGACATTGATGGAGAAGCCAGCAGCTATGAGAAGATCACAGTCCCGAACTTTGAAGGTGGACGCAGCAGTCGATTTGTCCATGACTTCAATATGGTTTGTACACATATACAAACATAACCTTGTTTTCTAAAATCCTTTAAAAAAACACGAAAAAACTGTTTCAAGCTTCATTTCACTCTCAAAAGCCACAGCTAATTCCAGTCCAAATAGCAAGGGTGGAAGACAACCTATTGTATTACCCCTTATCCAGTTTGTAGATGATACAGAATGGACTGAGTTGGTTATTGTTACAAAAGGGAAAAAACAGCATTGAGTAAAATGTGTTGAATAGTGTCATATACTTAAAGGAGAGGATGCAAAGTTAGCCAAAAATAGAATAATGAAATAACTAAACAAACCAACAAGGTATTTAGTGTTGATATAAAATCTTCAAGGGAGCCCAGGTCTTTGAATGAGTATACAGCATTCGACTGTTGACTGAACTAAACATTCCATCTCCATGTTAAAGTTGTATTAAGTTTTTTTTTTTTTTTTTTTTTTTTTTAATCAATATGGACGTAGTTTATTTGAGCCACTGACAGATTTTTGTTGGTATGGCTGTTGTCCTATGAGAATTTTTTTAGCCAAGTCCAATTTTGGACAACTGGTGTCAGCTATAGCATCTTTCATGTCTTGTCAACTATCTCAGTAACAAAAATAAAGTAGGTATTACAATTTTAGACTCTAGCAAACTCTCTGACTAGTGACTGGCTCGTTAACTATGTTATTTTTAAAAAGAAACTGGCTACAGCTGGAGTTTTATGGGATATCTATTTCAGTATCCCAGTAAAAGTCAATGGTATAACACTTTGTCAATCAGATAATATTGTAACTGTACAAAAATGTATTTCCCTTAAATCATAACTTTCCCTTAACATTGCCATCTTTGATATATTTAATTGTGTCTAGCACATTCAAGCCACAAACAGTGTGAATTCTAAAGTGTTACTGGGTAAAAGCCACCAAATGATTGAACAACTGTTTTTAATAGGCCTACTAAAGAGTAAGTTGTCTACTGTTACAGAACAAAACTGGTATCATTGATGTGGAAGCTCGCCGTTGTTTCGTTATGACTCTGAATCGCACCCAGGTTCTGCCCCCTCAAGATCTCATTGATCTCATCCGCAAGATGTGGGATGGTTAGTTGAACATGTTCTTATCAAATTATAAATCCTCAATCTGAATAAGTTCTAAGTTTATTAACTGTTGCAATTTTGCTTTATAGAAGTTTTGGCGTTAAAAAGCGACAGTTTTTGTGTGATCCTAAAACATATTTACTATTATCTCACTCATGGATATTTTTTGTGCTGAATTCTGGTCTTCGGGAGATGACAGTGTCGTTGAATTAGTGAAGGTGTGGCTGATGTTTAGAATGTGCTGCAGCAACCCATTTTCAGGAGAAAGTAAAATCTCATGTTATTTATATTTACTTGTATTATACTCTGTTCACAAAATTTAGGCGGTTTGAAGTGAAGCGATTCCATCCCCTCCACCTCAACCATTGAAATAACCACCCAAAGCTGATTGTCTGATATATACAATGCTAAAATGCCCCCGCCGCAGCTACCCTGCAGACTAAGCGAATTTCCATTTACCCGATTGGATTTCAATTAAATCTATTTTAACAACATTAGGTGTAACAAGTTAACAAGTACCCAGGTATGCTGCTAAAGGGAGGGTAATAAAATGTGTTTTTAGCAAAATATTAATAGCTTAGTATAAAATAAATAAATTTGCGAAGTTTGATCAAAATATATCCATAAACAAGCAAACTACAATACTTAACTTATTCTCCATGAGAATAACTTGGGAATTTGAAAAAGCCAATAACCGTGTACAAAAACACTTCAAGCTATCTACTAAACTATTTGTTTTTTATGCTCTTTAAAATGGATTGAAGAGAAATTATAAAATTTTATGTTTTAAGGGTCAAAATTGAGAAAAACCAATTTTTACCCTATAAAACCCACCATAAACCCACGTTCCCATGGCCCGATCATGCTAGTTCGCCAACTCATTCAAGTTTATCGCGCCTCGACCTTCAAGCCAATTTTTCTCAAAATCCAGTATTAGTCCACGTACTTATATACGTGTATAAAAATTTGAACAAATAGTGTTTTTGGCCTCTAGAGACATCAAAATGAAAAAGTATAATGGTCCTGGACCCAGGTCTTACCATGCCACCTACAGTAAAAGCTACTTCCTTATAGGGAAATTTGCTAAAAGTGGTGGAGGAACCCAGGAAACCTTCCCCTTAAACCGCCTAAACAATTTGTGTACAGACTTTAAGTAGTAGAAGTGTGGGGATAGTGAAATTTCAGTTCATATCAGTTTCGGGTCTAATAGTTATGGCTCAGTTCTGATCTGATATTGAAAGGTTTGGATTTGGATGTTCAAATTCTGATAGTTGGTATTATTTTTTTGAACAATTTATGTAATTGTAGTTGTTGTTGACTGAAGGTTACTACGAGGTGGACATAGACATGGTGCGGGAGACTATGAGAGTGGTATTGCCACCTATCAAGGACCCGAGATCTGTTGGACTGATGATAATGAGGGAGTGTGGAAACTACCCCATCTACAAGATGGAGAAGATTGTGTCTGGAGGTGAGCCATTCACTAAACGTTGCATCAACTTTATGTTGGAATTATAAGGCATAACATTTTATGAATTTTTGTCTTTTGAGGATGTTGGCTATTCTATCTTTCCTCCATTAAACTGGATAAGCCTCTCATACTTGTTCTACATCTTCTGGGTGCATCCAAAAGAGTTCAGATGCTCTCAGCAGAGTTTTTCAACAATCAGTTTAGGTCGTGCATACCCAAAAGATGGCTTATAGTATTGATATTTAAGTGGTACTTCCACTATTCTTACAATTTTATTTTAAGTGCTTGGTAATCCAGCCTGACCACCAAGGTCCCAAGCAAGCAGAATCAGTAAGTAAGCATCAATAACGACAATCACAACCCTTTTTTTGGGGGTCATTACCAACACTCCAATTAACTTTATGCATGTTTTCAATGAAAGTTTTTCTTCCTTTTCCCGAAGTAAATTCAGTTCCCTCTGTTCCAGTGTTCAAGAGGAGTGTTTCGCCAGACCCCACCACTTTCATGTCCTACGCTGGGAAACAGTTTGTGCAACTCAAGATCGCCAATGAAGAGGAGTTGAATGCCTGGGAGGCAGCTCACCCTCGCTCGTAGATTCACAATTAATCATTTTATGTAAATTCATGTTAACATACAATTTTAAATTTTAACCACCTGCTCGTGCATTTCATATTTTTAGGCAACTTTATACACGATTACCACCAACTACTTAATGTTGTTGATATAATTACTATTAAATTATATTTGTATTTAAAGCTTTATTAGTTATTTTATAATTTTTTATTATTAGCTGGTTAGTTGGTATGTTGTTGGTTAGGTAAATAGGTACTATTGATGTTGTGTCAAATGAAAGCGTATTTGTATTGCAATAAAGATTAATAAATAAGTTATTTAATCGTGAACAGTGTTTATGATATTTCCTACCTCATACAAAGAATTATCCAGACAACATACGAGGACGAGAACGAAACCAAAAGGAATTGTAAAGTGGAGAATAATGGAGTATACTCATGAGGAAAATTCTTTTAAAGGCAGCTGTTGATTTTCCCCCTAATCAATGGGAAAATCAGCTGCAGATACTACTAGTACTAGAAAGTATGGAGTCTGTTAGAAATGTTCATGTTTTTTAAATGAAAAAATATCAATTGAAAACCTACCCTGTCTCGTTAACGTCAATAAGTGGCATTAATACTTACAATAGCTATTTCTGTGTAATAAGAGTGCTAACTGTTAACAAAACTTATAACTTGCAATGCCAAAACAAAAAACTATAAAACAATTAAAGCTACATGCACAGATTTAATTAAAATAACACCTTTGCAAAGGCGTTATATCTTATTTATTTAAAAAATTTGGTTTTTCTTTTCCTGAGTCCGTTTGGCTCTTCTACCCGACCGATTTTCATGATTGAGGTCTCGAATTGAAGGTATGCACGTACAGATTTGCCATCAAGCATCAGCATAAATGTATCTATCTATAATCCCACTCAGCATATACGTAAACGAAATTTGCTCCCCATGTATTTCTTAAGGGACTTAAATGACTTAAAGGGACTTAATGACTTTAAGGGACTTAAAGGTACTTAGTGAGTCGGTGGCTCAGTCGGTAGCGTCGCGGACTTCGGGCCCAAGGCAGCGATGCCGTGGGTTCGGATCCTGGTCACTGCCGATAACATTTTATCAGTACAGTTCACCTTTGTACTGTACTGGCTCACTCCTTGCTTTGCTGTTAACGATCCACGCACGGGCGCTTAGTCTATGTGGACGGGCAAATGCAAGGTTAAAAGAGGCCGCCAACCTCTTTAAAAAAAAAAAAAAATTTGGTTTCTCTTTGCCGAGTTCGTTTGGCTCTTCTACCCGACCGATTTTCATGATTGAGGTCTCAAATTGAAGGTACATGCACACACAGATTTGCCATCAAGCATGGGCATATATTTATCTTTAACCCCACTCGGCTTATACGTCAACAAAACTTTCTCCCTATGTATTTCTTATGGGAGTTAAATTTGGTTTCTCTTTTCCGAGTGCGTTTGGCTCTTCTACCTGACCAATTTTCATGATTGATGTCTTAAATTGAAGGCATACACGCAAAGATTTCACATCAAGCATCTTTCATCGAAGTAAATGCATCGGCATAAATTTACACACTGTATTATTTGACCGAAAAACATAATTTGATACATTATCGAATTCTTACTTCAATTTAAGATGTATTTCACCAGTTATAATTATACAATCCTATATATTTTGGTCTAAGAACCTCCAGTCAAATACCTGCATTCATTTAAGCTACTGTATTAGTTATTCAAATCGGACAAGTTTCAAGCAAACGCAGGGAGAACAACCAACCCAAACATTATTTTTCACAAGGTTTTTCTATGACTAAAAATCAATAGCTCCAGTATGATCATGTATGTTTTAGACTCAAATCAATGAGCAATTATAGGCTTTAAATTGAGCTATTGATCGTTTGAATCAGTATCAAGATAATATCAATATCAAGATTAATCATCGAAAATCATAAATTTGATTAGTTCTTGGATATTATATTTTTTAGTTTAACGCTGCGGAGCAGCATGGGTCCTCTAGTTTTAATTAAATCGTTATTTTTATTAAATGCAAAGGATACGCAACAACACATCCCAGTATTGCGAGTATTGCATTGACTTTCTGCAGGCGTTTTTCGAATATGGATACTGATTCCCCCATGAATCAAATAGTTTTTTGACCACCACTGAATCGAATCAGAATTTTGATGCATTGTACACCCCTAGTTACTTGGCAACCTATAAGGCCAATGTTAAACTTTTGAATTTTTAAATGAGTTGTGTAGCAAAATACAAATTTTCCTGATGTATCGTAGTGGCTGTCGTCATTCACGTTTTTAGGCAGAAAATAAATTATCTACAACATTTCAAGGAAATTGCCAAAGAGGATTTCAAGATCTTTGTGCAAGCAAGCATATTTAAGCAAACATTGCTCATATAGGCCTATGGATATCCTATACTCTAATACGAGCAATGTTTGCTTGTATGTATGTATGTATGCTTGCTTGCTTGCTTGCAAAAAAGATCTCGAAAACGGCTCCGACAATTTTCTTCAAATGTTGTAAATAGTTTATTTCTGGCCTAAAAACGAGTTTACTGCAGTTAGAACTGCCAACAAAAATCTAATTACGTAGAAAAATGAAACTGAAAATCACATTTTTTTAACATTAGTCTTATGGGTTGCTAGGTAACCATGTTGGATGAATTAAATAACAAGGATAAAGTAAACAAAAGACTTAAAGTTGTAGCATGTGTTCATAATAAGCCAACTACCCACAGTATACTAGCAAATTACAAATACAGTACAAAAGGAAAAACATCACTTGTTAATATTTAGCAAAGATTATACTGTAGATTACTCGATTCGATACATTGTAGTCAAGGGCAGCAGTGCGAAGTCTGGGATCTGTTTATGACGATTAGATTAGATTAAGGTATCTGCAATCCTAAAATGCCAAGGGAAGGGAAGGAAACAGGTCCGCGACATAGGAAGTGGTGAAGGAAGTAATAAAGGCAATCATAAAATGCTATAGGAATAGAGGGAAACAGGTCCGTGACGTAGGAAGTGATGAAGGAAGTAGTGAAGGCGAGCAGTCCGGAGTGTGGGGAATGTTTATGACGATAAGATTAGGGTATCTGCAATCCTAAAATGCTATGGGAAGGAAGGAAAACAGGTCCGCGACGTAGGAAGTGGTGAAGGAAGTAGTCAAGGCGAGTAGTTCGGAGTGTGGGAACTGTTTATGACGATTAGATTAAGGTGTCTGCAATCTTAAAATGATATGGAAAGGAAGGAAAACAGGTCCACGACATAGGAAGTGGTGAAGGAAGTAGTCAAGGCGAGCTGTCCGGAGTGTGGGAACAGTTTATGACGATTAGATAAGGGTATGGGCAATCCTAAAATGCTATGGGAAGGGAGGGAAACAGGTTAGCGACATAGGAAGTGGTGAAGGAAGTAGTCAAGGCGAGCTGTCCGGAGTGTGGGAACTGTTTATGACGATTAAATAAGGGTATGGGCAATCCTAAAATGCTATGGGAAGGGAGGAAAACAGGTCCGCGACGTAGGAAGTGGTGAAGGAAGTAGTCTAGGTGAGCTATCCGGAGTGTGGGAACTGTTTATGACGATTAGATTAAGGTATTTGCAATCCTAAAATGCTATGGGAAGGGAAGGAAACATGTCCGCGACATAGGAAGTGGTAAAGGAAGTAATAAAGGCAATCATAAAATGCTATGGGAATAGAGGGAAACAGGTCCGTGACGTAGGAAGTGATGAAGGAAGTAGTAAAGGCGAGCAGTCCGGAGTGTGGGGACTGTTTACGACGATAATATTAGGGTATCTGCAATCCTAAAATGCTATGGGAAGGGAGGAAAACAGGTCCACGACGTAGGAAGTGGTGAAGGAAGTAGTCAAGGCGAGTAGTCCGGAGTGTGGGAACTGTTTATGATGATTAGATTAAGGTATTTGCAATCCTAAAATGCTATGGAAAGGGAGGGAAACAGGTCTACGACGTAGGAAGTGGTGAAGGAAGTAGTCAAGGCGAGTAGTCCGGAGTGTGGGAACTGTTTATGACGATTAGATTAAGGTATCTGCAATCTTTAAATGCAATGGGAATGGACGGAAACAGGTCCATCACGTAGGAAATGGTGGTAATGGCGAGCCGTGTGGAGTTTGGGAATGGATTTATGTATCTCCAATACTAAGGTGCTTTCAGAGTGAACTAATGATTTTCCCCGAGCAAAGCTCGGTCCCCAGGTACTATGATTAACTCACACATAAATTAAAGGGTAGAACCATGTGGATAACCTCCATAAATTAAAAAATTCAGAACATCCAGCTGTTTAATTTGCATTTCTATGGAAACCTAATCTAGCTATTAAAAAATTACAGATTTCAGCTGGGCAGTTTTTACTCAAATTTGAGAAGATGTTGTTGATGTTAAAGTAGAAGCTTTTTAGTGCTGAAAGATGAGAATTGGTATACGTATTACTCTTCTTTTTAAACTTAAGAGATGTCATTAGCTAAGTGCATTTATGCAAAAGGAAATTAAAATATCATTTGTTTTAAACAAAATATGTATGGTCTGTAGGTTGTCTAGGTGTCCATCTAACGGAAAACTAAGAACTGATCATATTTTTTTTATTAAACAGAGGGACAGGCTTCCAAGTAACCATGGTATTGCATCGCAGCTGGAACAACTTATTGTGCACTTAACATGACTTTTGATGACCAGAAAAAAAGCTGGGAATCTTGAGCCTACTATATTTTGTATGGGAACATCAAAATCTAGTTTCTCCAGTCATGCTATGCTAACAGACACATATAGGAAATAATGTGTTATATACAGTAAATATATTGGTGTATGGCCTCTGGGAGTATCAAAACAATACCCCCGTCGCAGCAAACCTGCATACTAAGCGAATTTCCATTTACCCGGCTTGATTTCTACTAAAATATTCCCTATTAATTTTCAGATTTATTTCCTATTTAAATAACATTAATTTTAGTGAGTAGTTAGGTTTGCTGCTACGAGGAAGATGTTGAGGTGTGTTTTTTCAATTGAAATATTGATAGCTTAGTGTGAAATAAGCCAAATTGCCAAATTTGATTAAAATATATCCATAAACAAGCAAACTAGAACAGTTTATTTATTCTCCATAAGAATAACATGGGAATTTTAAATTTACAATTTTTTAAATTTTTTCGTAGTCAATGAACATTCAAAAAAACTTCAATACACTAAATTATTTGTTTTTTTAAGCTCTTCAAAATGGTCTAGAGAGAAATTTAGAAATTTAAAGTTTTTAGGGACAAAAATGAGAAAAACCCATTTTTACCCCATAAAACCCCCCATAAACCCC